AAACAATATTGCTACAGTATATTGTCTTAACACTTTCTTTTAAGGCGATTAGTACCCTCAAAGAGGTACTTTCTAAAGCGTACTTCTCGTTTATGGCTCGACCGAAATGCTTGAAAAAAATATATGTGAATCATCAACTCTTAAACAATATTTTCATTAAAAAAAATTTCGTGGGACTAAAATGTCTATTACTTTTTTTTCAAAGAAATGTTTTTTTTTTTACTTGCCTGTCCTTTTGTTTCTGAACGGCTCAGAATTTTGGCAACATTTAAACACTAAAAAATACCTCTTTTACTTTATGCCCGCCAATAATTTTGTAAATCAACTACTATTTTCCTATATTAAAATCGAAAATGCTATTTATGAACCTCGAAACTTTAGCGGTGCTCTGCGCGGGCGCAGGCGGCAGTCGCGCGCTGGCGCTCAGACAGGAAGGTGTGTCACTTTTTTTCTCAAGCAATCGACTACTTGTTTTACGATGTCTTTACGCATGTATTGTTTATGTACACAAGTATTTTTGTTTGTGTGCGTGCATAGAATAATCGCTCGCAGACAAATAAATGTGTAGTAAAGTACGCGCTTATATACATATATATATGTATATATATATATATATATATATACATTATAGGTGTATGAATGTATTATGGATGAATATTTTGCAGTTTCAATAATCTATACATATAATAAAATTCTAACTGAGTCGAATGAAATAGACATTATTATCGATACAGAGGCCGAATCTATAGTTTTTAGAATGTTTGTGTCTGTCTGTCTGTTATCGCATAACAGAGAAACTACCTACAATGAATGATATTTGTTATTATATTTGCCAAATTTCATGAAAATCGGTGTAGCCGTTTATTTTACGCGTGATTAACAAACAAACTTACAATCATTCACGTATTTTAGACTATTAGTAGGATTATAATTAATGATATTATATCTATACTTATTATAAAAATAAGTCCCCCGGCCGCGTCTTTCTGTCCTCCTGTCTGTCCTCCTGTCTGTCTGTACGCGATAAACTCGAAAACTACTGAACGGATTTTTATACGGTTTTCAACAATAGAAAGAGTATTCTTGAGGAAGGTTTAGGTATATAATTTATTATGCTTTTATGTAAATTAGCTGAAATACGGCGACAAATGTTGAAGAGGTCGCAAAAAATCTCGCCAAATGGGAACTTTCCACGCGAACGCCGCGTAAACTAGCAAAGATACAGTTAAGTAATGTACTAGAGAATTCAAAATCTATAAAAATGCTACAAAAAAGTCCGCGATAGCATATCTCTATCTCTTACGGTTGACTTACAATAACCACTTTTATGTTAACATTTTAATTAAAAACATTACGTTATTTTCAAAGTTATTTTCTTTAGTTCGGTATTAATCCTTATCCAAATGAATATTTTAGTTAGCTTAGTCATTTAATGCAGATTAAAATTGCTCTTTACACTAAATCAATCAGATGAATAGTTTTTGAGATATCGTTGTTAGAAGTAATTAGTAGCGAAACATTTTTAATGCTTGGCGAGCATTGAGATGCCTACGGCGAGTCCATCCCCTCTGCCCCGCATCGCTCGACCGCCTGCTCAAGCTATATAAACCGGGCGATGTAGCGCGCGATCCTAGGATACTTTTTACCGCGGGAAAATATCTTATTTCTGAGGAAAAATACAAAAACTGCAATGTAAGAGTATACTAATATGTAACACCTAAGAATTTAGTTTTTGGTCATCTGAACGCGGGCGGAGCCGCGGGCAATGCTAGTATTACGATAATTCTAGCATTGCATCTCTTTGACTCTTTTCGGATTGTATCGCTCGTAGGCAGTAAACTTATGTGGTGTATTCTTTGATCAGTGTTCTAGTATGTATAACAGTGCGTGGATTGTTCGATGCTTTGTTGCGAGGTGCGCGGGTGCAGCGCGCTAAGACCCGCCCAAACACTCAATGCCATTGGGGACACTAATCGCCTTAAATAAGATAAAAAATTTATAGCTTTAACTTTTCCGTAAGTCATCAACAATCAAAATCAGTCATCATGTAAAATGTAAATGTCACGAAATTTTATTGTAAAAAATATTCCACATACCTCGTATGTCGATTGACCTTCAAAAGTCGATGTCAAAAAAACCCTTTCTGTCAAGCGACCTTTTTAAGGTAGATTTTATGTGTGATTTCTCGCGTTTAAACTATATTTATTTTTATCTAGCTTTTGTAACGTGTAAAGAAAAGACAAGCAATATTATCATAATACATGTCAAAAAAGTAATAACTCCAATAACGTAAATTTTTGTAATTTGTGCATACAACTTTTTTAAATTTTGGCCGGTCTTCGAACTCAATACTTAGTGAGTAAAAATTAATAAAATAGTGTAAAATTATTATTACAAGGATTGGAATATTATGGAAGGATAAGTAACTAACAGTTTTTATTTCGTAGGATGTGTATTGAATAAAGATTTTATACAGAAATTGTTATATTTGTCAAACATCGTAAGCATTGACACGCGCTAAGTCCTTATATTTTCACTTTTTTTGAATAAAAAATACACTAGTGATAGCATAATATTTTTATTAACATGATTTAAATTTATAACTAAATAATTACGTATAAATGAATTTGTAAATCTTCTATTAGATTTTAAGTAATTAATAATATAATAACACGTGCCCCAAATTCGAGCCGCCATTATTGACGGTGTTGGATAGTATGGAGAAGACTTTTTTAATATTCATTAGAATATTTTCATTGATTTTTAGCACTATTTGAAATTTAGCATTTTATAAATATTTTAACTGTTTTCCTAAAAAAATTATTTGATTTTTTTTATAACAGAGCCATTTTTATTTTATAGATATAATTTCAACTTAAACATTTCTTTAAAACACTATAAAAATAAAAAAATCCAACGGCATAAAAGCTAACTAAAAAGATGAAAACAAGTTGACGAAGGAATAAAGTCTGAACACTTCCAACATCGAAATATTAATCTAAAACATTAACCCCGTGATCGCCTGAAAACTAAAATCAAAAGGCACCCAAATTGGCTCCTGATATCCGCCATTTTGATTTTTAATTATTTTTAATTTTTAACTATAACGCGAGTATCATATAGGCTATATATAGCCTACGACACTCGCGTAAATACGACACTAACGACAACAATCGGCCAACGCGTTTGGCCTCTAGAGTGCCACAAAGAAAAAAACATACATACATACATATGTACATACATAGACTGATAAACACATTACCCTCCTTTGCGTCACGCAGTCGGGTAAAAATATGTTTATTTGCATCTCTTAAATTAGTATCATGTTGCATTTTATGTTTATATGTATATATATGCTTCTTTACAAATTGAAAAATCCACCAAACCTATCTTAAGATTACAATATTATGATCGGTGTGGTGGACAAGAAAAACCAAATGTTGGCAATGTACCCAATAGAGTGGAAACGAACAAGGGTGTGGTATAAAAAACTATTTCAAAGACTTCTAAACGTATCTATATTAAATTCATATATTATTCATCATCACTCTTCTTCTTCTCATACTATCGAAATTTCAGTATTGCTTTAGTAAAATACAAACATTCTTCTGCTACTCCATTTCCGCTTGCGACCTCACAGAACATGTATCTGTATTGGTTGCAATAAATGTATGTATTGATCTAACCTCTTTGAAAGGGAATATATAGGAATATATAATAAGGAATATATAGCTTATATATAAAATTTTAAGAAATATTGTTATTTTAATGATGCGTACATATTTCGCGCAGGCCCTCGGAAAGTAGCTGACAGATGCGATATATTAAAAAAAACTCCAAATAATTTAACTCTATGTAGCCCAGTGTTGGCCACACATATAACGTATGCTAAATGTCCTTTATAGTATAATATTATTTATTCTACATTTGAAGGACAAATACTGAAGTATTGACGAATTGTTCGTGTGCTCGTGCCCTAGATGATTATATAATCAATGTAATTTTTTATTAAGAGGAAATTGTGACCTAAAAAAATTTTCTTTTAACCGGTTGAAATTAACAAAGAAGTATGAGAAAGAAAGAAAAATTCTACATAAAAACAAACTCGAATCCTTGGATAGCCTTATTATAATTATAACAACAATAAGTTAAGCGGAAGGAAAATCAAAGTAAACGGCAACTTGTAACTATTTCAATTTTTAATTGAATTGAATAAAAAAATAAACCCACAGATCTCGTGTCTGCCACGACCTTCGGGTACATTGAATATGTATCTGCCAAATGAACAGATTTTTTTTAACATAGTAAAATTATTAAACTAACTAAAATTATTACATTTTAATTTTTAAGACATAATAGGACACAATACACGCGATAAAGAAACATTATTTTTAGAACAATAAGCGCCACATGTTTGACACAATGAACTCTAGTCCAAATTTTCAAATTTTTAAATAACTTTATCTATTAGTTTAAATACATATTTATTTATTCACAAAGAATCACTTCGTCCATAAACATAATCTTGTTCCAAAAAATTTATTCACCGTCACTACCGCGCTCACGCTCTCTCCGCGCTTAAAATCCGCGTCACAAAGGTAGGTACTACTTTGGAATAACCATCAGTAAAACGTAACTCCAATTTTTTTTAAATATAGCCCAAAATCATATCTCTCGGGGTTTTATATTAATTATTTTCATATCTCAATTCGTTTTGGAGATATGATTTTTTTATTGCTTAAACCGGGCGAAATATGGCCGCATTTTTTCACATTTTTTCGATTTAAAAAGTTTTTAAGTTATTTTTTTTTTCTATTATCTTCGTCGAAACGCGTCTTTTGACATTTCAATTAGTCACGTAGTCGCAAAACCCACGACACCAGGACGACATCGCATAATTTCGCTGAAAATCGGCCCTATGCCGCTGCTTAAAATATTTTCAATGTTAAAAATAACAAAAATATTAGTATATTAAAATTTCTTAAATGTTAAAATAATATATGGAAGCCTTACTTAATGTTAAGTAAGCATGTAGGTAAGTAAAACCGTTATCGCTATGCACCGCGAACGTCGCCTGCGTCTGGATCGCGCCTTACAATATGTACATATACTAGGTATTACCATATCAGGTCATCCTCCTTGAATTCAAATTGTTAATGCAAAACAAAGTATATTCTTAACTTTACTTTAGTTATATGTACCTAGAATGCGTTAAACTTAACTTTCGCTTATATTTTCATACGTTTTTCTGTTTCTTTCGTTGTTGAACTATTAAAGTATTGTTGAACTATTATAATATTAAAAACGTGAATAAACTTTATAAAACAATCTTTAAATTGCGTTTTTAGTAGTGATTAAAATACCTATAAATATAAATAGTTTGTATGTCGCAAAGAATATAGCATGAGACCTTAACCACATCGTTATAAATTATTTATTTAAGCTTTAAAATGCGGATTTTATATATTTAAACACTTAACAATTCGAATAATTATCGTATTATTTTTTACATTATGAATATCATTATGTAAAACTATAAGGCACTAATAACATTTGGCACAATATATGTGGATATTAACATACCACTAGCTATAATGACGTAGTGAAGTCAGTATTAAAAACTTAAAAATAATATATTGATCCATAACAGCTAATATATACAATTAGTAAATAGGTATGTAATTCTACCTATTTCATAAAACTTTTTTGAAAATATAACTCTCATTAGCTTATAATTATATATTATTTAATTGTTTATTAACCGACTTCCCAAAAACAGGAGGAGGTTCTCAATTCGTCGGAATCTTTTTTTTATGTATGTTCACCGATTACTCGAAGACGCCTGAACCGATTTGGAAATATATTTTTTTGTTTCAAAGGGTATACTTCCCAGGTGGTCCCATATAAATTTTATCGCAATCCCTCGAGCGGTTTTTTAAGAAATCAACAGTAAATATATTTTTTAAATAAATTGTTTAATCGAATATGTTATAAAAAAACTTTCTTCTTACAAATTATCTGCTTATTACATCTACACTAAAGATGGAAAAATAAAAACTTAAAAACATACCGACTTCCAGGCACTAAAATGTAAAAAATAACTAAACGGAGGTTTTCATTTAGAATAGATACCTAATCAGTATTTTCGAAGTCGGTGCCAGCCGGTGCAAAGCAAATCTAATATATTTCGATACGTAAAATACATATTTACCTATTAGATATTCATATCTTAAAATATTGTCGGCTGGCACCGAATTCAAAAATATCTGATCTGGTCACATAAGTAAATACCTTATACATAAATCATTACAAATTAATCAAATATATTGATGATGATGATCTCCTAGCCGATTCCGGCCACGGCGGCCAATCTCATTGAGGAGAACCACAACCAAGCCAACTGCGCAAGAGATATTATAGTGCACAAGTGTACACGCAGACACAAGTGCACTCTCTATTCCTGTCACTCTCATACTCCGGTGGGACGACTGCTCGACACGACCAGTGAGAGTTAAGGCGCATGACCGACGGCTTAACGTGCTCTCCGAGGCACGGGGGTCAAAACACCGCCAACTTCCCAACTCCGGGTTCTTACTGAGACTTACTATACAGAAAGACTCAATAACTAAACTCGGCCCAACCCGGGACTCGAATCCAGGACCTCCGAATATGCAGCCGTACATGCTAGCCACTACACCACCGAGGCAGTTATATTATTTTCTATTAAAACACTCAATTTATAAAAATGCAACCTTACACTTGTAACTCGTATTTCAAATATTTTTAACCTTTTTTTTTAACGCTGGGAAATGTATTTACGCACGAGGTGTGGGACTCACCGGCGAAGCCAGTACTACTCACTAAAACCCAACAAAACCTTCCCCCGTCTTAATGGGGTGTCGCAGGATCGCTTACGCATTCAACTACGACGCCCCGACGGCAGGTCTGCCGAAGCAGACCACAACAACCACGGGTTGCTCCAAGGTCCACTCTGCTATCAGAGAAGTACCAGGAGCAACCCGCTTGGTACACCGCCCTCCGAAGAGGGCCACCTTCCACCGCCCACTGAAGCGGGCCACCTCCCTGTGCGTTTCTTGGCTTCGTGCCCGGCTGGATTGCCGGACACTACTGACCCTCCCACCACGACAAGGTGAACACACGTTGAGGGGGAAATGTTTTTAACCCCTTTTTTTCTGTCAGGAAAAACCCTGTTCCAGGGTACCCGCTCGCCAATGGGGGATGCGAGACGGGTTATGTGGGGCTCCTGCCGCGCAAAGATGGTGAACGCGCGGCAGCCTATCCACTAAAAAACCTGACAAAGCACCTCCTTCGGCTTAAGGCTGGGGCCACGGGTACCAAAAAGACTCTTCCGTGACCCCGACGTCGAGTGCCTGTTAAGGCCCATCCCATTGTCTGGGGCTAAGATGTTAGACCACCCCTGACGGCCTCCTCCGCTAGAACACTGGACGGCCAACCTCCCCAAGTCGACCTCTGGCACCTTCACCCCCACCGAAGTGGGCCACCCCACATCCGGCTGCAGAGGACAGGGAGAGCGGCAACGACACACCGACACTCCTCTTGCCCTGCAGCCCCACCGCGTCCGCCATCTAACGGTGGCGGCCCCGTGCCGCGGTGGTGGGCAGGGAGAGCGGCGCACCGTAATACCGGCACTCCTCTCCCGCCGCGGCCCCTCCCCTGCCGGTCGCAGGCCTGTCACCACAGTCCCGCAACCAGCACCCCCCGATCCGATCGCGGGACCGCCAAAGCGGTCCCACTACCGGTGGCCGCAACGTCTTCGGCCAAACCTTTCGGCTCAAGGCCTCGACGAGCGGCCCCCACCAAGCCATTTGGTCTGCGCTAGATTTCTCCGGTACCACCCGCCCCACTAAGCGGGTGGCATTCCCCTATCCGCCACCTGGGGACGCGCCCGGTAGGAGTTGGCTTTTCCCCCGGGAAATATTTTTAACCCTAATACAACATACAAAAAACATTTGCTTAAAATAATAGCATACTTGACATGTTGGATATGCTTATTGCTTTTGCGACTTTTATTTCAAATTCGAATCCATTATCGCTATGAATTATTTATCTTGACACCAATGTAATCTTTACAAAAAAAACCTTTAAGATTTATGGCAATACATTTTATATTTTTTGATATTAGTGATGTTCTTGGTCCAGTTAAACTAGTTACGTTGGAATTTGTTTAAAATTTGGAGACATTAATTATTTTAACTACCTGCTAGAAAAACACGCTAGTATTAATATTCATGTAATACATAAAGATAAGGAAGATTTTCACCTTTTTATTTATACAGTAATACGTGTTATATTGCGTCAAAAATATAGTTTCATTAAATGTCAATACTTTTATAATTCTAAAGGGATTTTTCTATTCACGTATATAAATTAATATCAATAACTACATAACATTATTATTTGTTTACAGGAAATGGATCGAAGAAATAGCTTTAGCAAACAAGCAAGGACGAAAGCCGTCGCTTCTTCGCGCTATGACCAAGACATTCTGGTTAAGTTATGCGTCTTCCGGATTTATGTTTTTTGTACAAGCCATCATCCTTAAGTAAGCACTTTTGTAAATAATTAATATCCTATATGAAATTTTTACTTAGTTCTAATAATCTATACATATAATAAACTTCTAACTAAGCCGAATCTGTACATTAGATATTTTTTGGAAAATCTTATTGAAAAAAACATTATTATAGATTCAGAGGCCGAATCTATAGTTTTTAGAATTTTTGTCTGTCTGTCTGTCTTTCTGTCTTTCTTTCTTTCTTTCTTTCTGTCTATCTGTCTGTCTGTTACCGCATCACAGAAAAACCACTGGAGGAATTGTGATGAAATTTGGTATGGTGATAGTTGGTTATCCGGGTCAACATATAGGATACTTTTTACCGCGGGAAAATATCTCATTTCTGAGAAAAAATACAAAAACTGCAATGTAAGAGTATACTCATATGTAAAACCTAAGAATTTGATTTTTGGTCATCTGAACGCGGGCGGAGCCGCGGGCAATTCTAGTTTAATTATATGTTCTACTCGATTTTCAGTTTATCTCTATAGACTCACCTTCGCTCCGCTCGGGTTCGTCGCTACTTACGTTTTGACGTTTAGTATAGATTTCTCAGAGATGAGACTTTTCCCACTTAAAAAGTATCCTATATGTTGACCAGGATAACCAGCTATTATCATACCAAATTACTGAAAAATTCCTCCAGTGGTTTTTCCGTGACGCGGTCACAGAGAGACAAACAAAAATTCTAAAAACTATAGATTCGGCTTTTGTATCGATAGTATGTAATGACTATTCAATTCAATTACTATTAAAATTCAATAAGATTTACCAAAAAATATTTGATGTACAGATTCAATTCAATTAGAATTTTATTATATGTATAGATTAATTATACGCACCTCGACCTAGTCCGACTCCGGCATCCGAATAACGGCAACCATTTAAGGTCTAATCCTTAAATGGTTGCCGCTATTCTTAACATTTCATAAGATTTCGGAAGAAAATATTTTAAAGATTATGGTAATATTAATTAGTTTCTCTATATTCACCTTAAAAGTGTCTTTAAAAGTGATCCGTGTTTGAAGAATCACTGAAAAATCAATTCGTAAGTTATATAGAGAAAAAATAAGGAAAAACAGTATTTTAAAATCCATATAAATTTTATAAGGTACAATTCTACATCTTATTGCATAAGCACTCATAGTAGGTTCATAATGTTGCAATAGTGGCAACTAGGCTTGCAAAATTATGTATGTTTTTTTTATTTCAGACCCTTCCAACCAGTAGCTTTGAGCATGCTGCTGTTTTATTGGGAGCCAGGCTCCAATATGACTTACGAACAGGCTGTATACTGCGCTTCTGCAGTCATCTTGATATCACTCCTTATTGCTTTCCTAAACCACCACGGCACTTATTCCACTCAACAGTTTGGCATGAAAGTACGAATTGCTGCGTGTTCTCTCATCTATAGAAAGGTAGTGTATTTAAATAAAATCACTTTCTTCAACAAAGTTCTCAAATTATAGAGGTACAGGTTAATATTTTCGCTTATATTTTTCATTTAATATATTTTTAAATGTTGATTATAACTATAAAAAGGCACAAATATCATTATATAGTAAAAAAATAATTATATTCACGTATGTACAGGTAATGCGAATGAGCTCTGGCGCACTGGCTCAGACAACTGCTGGTCAAGTGGTCAATCTGTTATCTAACGATGTGAATCGATTCGACTACGCCTTCATCTACACACACTTCATATGGCTACTGCCACTCCAAGTGCTCGTGGTCTGCTATCTTATTTACATTAAAATTGGTTACGCTGCCATTGTTGGAGTTATTGGCATCGTGTTGCAGACTATTCCTGTACAATGTGAGTTCTGTAATATAATATTATGTAAATTTAACTATAAAAATAGCAAACAAACAAACATTACATGCATTATGACCGTGACAGTGCGGTATCTAAATGAACAGCATTCATAAAATCTATATCGATAGCCTGAAGTTTATTTCTCGCATATGGCACTGCCTTCTCTTGCTAAAAATAATGCGTTCAATCACTTCGTTCGTTTGTCAATTTAAATTTACTCTTTCTGTGGAATATTTTTATATTACATTTATAAATATATTTTGTCCTTAAACTATTAATAGAATATATTTTTTTCTCTCCAGCTTACATGAGCAAACTGGCAGCTAGATTGCGTATGAAAACAGCGATAAAAACTGATGAGCGCGTGCGAATAATGGATGAAATTATAAATGGCATGCAGGTGAAATAATTCATTTCAAATAATTCATCCTTTAATAACATTAATAATTAAACATTTATTTTTGATGAGTTTTTTTTTATTTTAGGTTATCAAAATGTATGCGTGGGAGAAACCATTTGAACAGGTTGTGGCTTTGGCTCGCAAGAACGAAATCAACTGCGTCACCTCAGCGTCCTATCTACGTGGAGTATACCTCAGCTTCATGGTGTTCACAGAAAGACTTTCCCTATATATAACGCTTCTATCCTATTCTCTATTTGGTTATCAAGTCACTGCAGATATTGTAAGTATTATGAAATTACAACCTTCAAACTACAATCCATTAAGAATTTTTCATTTATGATAACCATATTTTAAACCGACTACTTCAAAAAAGAGGAGGTTCTCAATTCGGCTGTATTAAAAAAAAACATCTGGTTTATGGCAACACGTGGCTCTAATTCTACTGCGTATTTATGATGAATTGAAGTATCTCAAGTTTATTGTAGGGTATACCATACCATAAAATAATCTAATTGCAGGTATTTCCATTGGCGCAATTCTTCAACACGCTACAAGGCACCCTTTCAATAATTATGTCAAATGCAGTATCATTTTTGGCCGAAGCACTGATTTCCGTGCAACGCCTTGAAGCGTTCATGTTACTGGGTATGTGAGACCTTTAGGTCTCTATTGCATGCCTAGCCTCTATGGATGATACTGAACTGGGAAAAGGGAAATACCCTTTTAAAGAGTTCAATATATGACAGACTCTTATTGTAAATAATTTAGTGTTTAAAATCTAATACTATATGTATGTATGATGTACGTAATGACTAATGCATCGCAAGCAATGTGATATCTAACCAAATGGTAAAAACGCACGACAAAGTATATTATCAAGAGAATCACTTGACTAAAATAATAATTTCCACAGGCATTCCCGTTGGCTCAAATGTTCAATATTCTCCAAGCTTCAGTAGCTATATTATTACCAGCGTCTCTTTCTTTGATGTTGGAGTCATATGCCTCTGTTCTTCGCATCCAACAATTATTACTTTTGGGTACGATTTTAAATATTACAATGTGTGAGTGGCTATTGTGAATCGTTTAAAGATCTGAAAACCCTATTAAAATAACATACATGTGTACTTTTACACATGTATCGTTAACGTAAGTTACCTTCTAACGATTTCGATCTTGTTTATTACGCTTTTATCGCTAACCAGGTTTGGATATAATAATATGTATGAATTTTAACCTAAGAATAGTACAACGTATATTACTAACTGCATGACTTATAATATACCTAAATATATTTATATTATTCAAAGTAAGTGTTTTTAATATTAACATAATAATGTCCAGAACGCTATTTACATTTCCTCGCATCCCTCCTCCTCTTCCTTGGTAAAAAAATGTACTTTTTAACTATGTATGTAAATGCATAATATTAAAGGATAAAAGATCATGGAAGGTTAGTACAAGAAAAAAAATTGAAAGAAAGTTACTAATATTTTTTACAATAAATAACAGATGAAAGAGAAGATCTCCGCAGTGTGGCGGATGTGGACATTGCCAAATTGGTCTTGAGAGCTAAAAATAAAAAAATTAAGAATCTCAGTGAAGTTGACCTACGTTCGAATACTTTCAAAAAAATTGAAGAAGAAGGTATCTATAACCCAGGTATGGAAATCAAAAACGCTGTAGATACAACTTTATCCCAATTATATTAATATAATCATTACAAAGCGAATATTGACCAAATGTGCCTTTTATTTCCAGGTTTCGATTGCAATGAGAAAGCACTTATCTCTCCAGCAATAAACGCTAATTCAATGCACCCAGATGTCGGCATTTATATTCAAGATGTCAGTGCCAGCTGGACCGACGGTGGACCCATTACATTACGCAATATTAATTTGTCTATTCCTAAGGGCAAACTATGCGCTATCATTGGATCAGTGGGTTCAGGAAAGGTACCTACTCTAACATAATTTTACATATTTTTTTCACTGAAACTGATTGGTTAAGTAAATACTTACATTATAATTATACTGCTAAATAAATTTCAGAGTTCGATTTTGCATCTGTTACTAAATGAGTTACGAGCTACTAGCGGCAAGATTTATCTTTCTGGACCTTTGTCTTACGCGTGTCAAGAGCCATGGCTGTTCGTTTCCACTGTGAGGCAAAACATACTGTTCGGACTTCCATACAATTCTAAGAAATATAAAGAGGTAAATTGATGTCTTATTTTTTAATATGAGATAGCATCTATTATATTTCATGCATAGTAAATACATAGGTTCTTTTCTGTTAGCTAAATTCTCATTTCATCGATCGGTTAAACTAGTTTGCCATGACCAAATCGACATATGTACAGGTCTATATGGTCAATACTCTCTGGACTCAGCTTAAGAAAGGACTCCCCGCCTATCGTTTGTTGTAGAGCCGGACTGCACTACTACAATAATTTATAAATAATTTATTTATTACAGGTAGTTAAAGTATGCGCACTGCAAAAGGACTTCCAACAATTTCCTCATGGAGACCAAACCCTCGTTGGGGAAAGAGGTGCATCCTTATCTGGAGGTCAACGAGCACGTATCAACCTGGCGAGAGCTGTGTACAGACATGTAAAGCACATAAACAAACATAATAAAATTTTACATTAATATGAATATCACATGATATCATCACCATAATAAACAGTATAAAATAATATGGCTAATTACGAGAACAATATATATATATTATATATATATATATATATATATATATATATATATATATATATATATTATAGAATTCAAAGTTTTTATTCCATTTCAGGCGGAAATCTATCTATTAGACGATCCTTTATCGGCAGTGGACGCTCATGTCGGCCGGCAACTATTCGACGAATGCATTACTGGATATTTGCGGCACACGACGCGTGTCTTGGTTACTCATCAACTTCACTACCTTCAAGCTGCTGACTATATAGTTATAATGAATAATGTAAGATTTTTGCGTTAAAAAAATGTTTTCTTACTGATATATCTTCATTACTAGCAATACCCGCGGCTTCGCCCTTCAACCATAACTTGCGATATATGTAAACATCAGTTTTACAATTAGTTGAGACAGTTTGTTTGTTTGAATGCACTAATCTCAGGAACTACGAATCTGATTTGAAAAATTCTTGTTGCATTAGATAGCCCGTTTATTAAGGAAGGCTATAGGATATGTATCATCATCCTACTATCCTAGGGAGCGAAGCAGTAATCATAAATGTCAACAAATCAGGCAGACTTCCATACATTATAATATTAGTATAAATATCTTACCTATATCATTGTAGGAAAAGGCTGTCAAAATATCAACCCTTTAGGACTAATTATTTGGGCTGTGCTGTCAGGAATCAATCAAATAACTTTGTATATTGAGACATATTATAGTTACGAGTAAATACGTGTAGAAAAAAATCTGTATATCCTAATGCACGAGTACTAATACTTGTATTGTGTAAAATATTAAGCTTTCAGCGAGATTAATGAACTTGACTATTAGAGTCAACTGGCAAATTAATAAAAATTAATTGATGACCCATCAAATATTTATTAGATATTTTTTTAATATATTTCAGGGCGTAATTGAAGCCAAAGGAACGTATGAAGAGTTGACGACATCTGGTAAAGATTTTGCTAAGTTGTTGTGCTCAGTTCAAGAAGATAAAGAAGTCAATCCAGAAACTGAAAAACCTCCACCGATGTCAAGACGAACATCTTCTAGGGTATGTTTTGTTTATAATGTATCTCAAAAATAGTGCGCTTAATATTTGATTACTATTATAAATGCGAAGGTTTGTATGTATGTGTGTAAAGGGTAAAATGACTGGACGAATTTGGATGAAATTTGGTACACAGACTATGTATGACCTGGAATAACGTATGTATACGCACCTTGGAACGCACCCGATTAAAGGGAGTTTAAATCGCTACTACCGGTAAGAACTTAATGTTAAACTTATTTTTTTCCAGCTATCTACAGCAAGGCGTCCGTCTCTGGCAGATTCTGCTTCAGGATGTGATGGTCCCGCACAAGAGATGGAAGAAGAAGAAAGAGAATCTGGCTCTATGGGTTGGCATGTGTATGGAGCTTACTTACGAGCTGGCGGACGAACTGGCAGATTAATCTTTATGGTTGTCCTTCTCATAGTTGGGCAGTTATCTGCAACCCTCTGCGACTACTGGGTTACGCTCTGGTATGATTAGTAAACGAAAATATAAATTCTTTCTTATTTCGTAATAAAAATCGTGACATAAAAATATATATTTTTGTATTAAAGGACCAATGAAGTAACTAGACAAAAAGAAAGAGAAACAAACACTACTGTGAAGGAATACGAAAGAGTAACACCTGTAGACAACTCTACATTCACCCTAACAACTTACTTTTCTGGAATTGACATAGAACCAAGTATGAAATAAGCAGTTTTTTTTTGTTTTCTCTGGAACATTAAAGACAATTACTTACTTTTTTTTGCTATTTTTACAGATTTGGATATTCACGCCTATATAGGACCTTTAGACACATCTCAATATCTCTATGTGTATACGGCCCTCATTTTTTGTTGCATCTTCTTTATAACGGCTCGCGCATTTATGTTCTTCAAAGTGTGTATGACATCATCAAGAAATCTACATAATGATATGTTCCATTCTATGTTACGTGGAGTAATGCGTTTCTTTGATTCCAACTCCTCAGGTAATGAATTATATTACATATACAGTATACATGTAATAATACTAATAAGTTATTAGTTTATTACATGTCTAATACAATTTTCTTATATTAAATCATTTTTCTTTTATTCTATTTTCAGGGCGTATTTTAAACCGTTTCTCTAAGGATATTGGAGCATTAGACGAATTGTTGCCTCGGTTTCTTCTGGAAAGTATCCAAATTTATCTTGTCATGTTCAGTATATTAGCATTAAATGCAGCTGCTTTAGTCTGGACTCTACTACCTACTACTATTATACTGCTCTTGTTCTACGTTATACTTCAAATTTATTTGAAATCTGCACAGTCAATCAAGCGCTTAGAGGGCACTAGTACGTACAATGTTTTAAAAATAATATTTTATTACTTTCTACTAAAAAGGTTAACCATGATTTGTGTTTACAGCTAGAAGTCCTGTCTTCTCTCATATGTCTACGACACTAAATGGCATTAGTACTATCCGATCTGCTGGAGCGCAGCAACGCTTAATTCAAGAATTTGATGGATATCAGGTAATATTGTTGTTATATTATTCGATAATACTTATAGTTCCTGAATAAGTATAAAGCGATAATATGACTGGCCTAATACTACATTTGAAGTATGTGTAGGTGACTTATACTATAATATATTTAATTTATCATATTTATATATTAAACTTCATATTTCATAACATTTATATTATATTAAATATTTAATTTACGTATTTATATTATCTACTCACCTACATACATACATACAACACGTATACATAATTATTTATATTTATTCATTATTAATTATTCATATATTATATTAAATCGACAAGCATAGCCGCGCGAAATTGGTAGTATATAGTGGATCGGAATTTGTTTTACACCTACCGACCACTAATAACATTTTTACTAACGAGCAGTCGATGCTTTGCCTTTGATGCGACTTACTTGTTTTATCTTATTTATTAAAACGAGTGACATAGGCTACTTTTTAAAGTAGCCTATGTCACTCGACTCTCCAGTCACTGTAAACAGTAAGAGATTACCTCGATCCCACGGGAAAACACGTTATAATACAACCCAAAAATAATTTATTTGATCAGAATTACTTGAAACTTGGTATTAATTCTCTTCAATACAATTAAATAAATAGGTGTTTTAGCTTTCTTCGAAATTCATCCCATAAGAGGGTTAAATAGGGGATGAAAGTTTGTATGAAACCTACTTTTTTAGAGGTTTTCTGTAGTTTTAGCGCGAGTGAAGCCGCGGGTTCTGCTAGTATATAATAAATATATATTGTTAAATTATAAATAAATATGCACATATATAACTTTAAATACATACATATAATAAATATAAACACCTATGACTGGAGTACAAACGTTTGTGCTCATCACACAAATGAAAGCCACCAGCGGGACTCAAACCCGCGACCGCTGGCACACCAAGTAGAGTCACTACAAACTGAGCCAAACATGTCGTCCATTAGTATCTTATATATGTAACTTTGTATGTACATTTAGGTTTAAGTAATGTACCTACACTTTTATGCATAATTTCCGCTCATTTCTTATATTTTTTGTATACTTCTCTATCGGTTTCCCAATGAGATCGCTTATAGTGATATAGCCGCCTTTGCACATTTCTTTAGTTGTATTTCTTTTTGTGTATGTACTGTTACTGTGAAATAAAATGTTTAAATTAAATTGTAATAAACTTATCTACCATACGTTATAAAGACAACAGATAAAATAAATATTATATATAGAAACACTTTATTTTTTATTTTAGGACATTCATACTTCTACTTGGAGCAGCTATCTCGCTAGCGGCGTGACGCTCGGTTTTTGGCTCGACTTCATATGCGTGCTCTATTTGGCAATTGTTATAGTAGCCTTCCTAGTTATTGATAGCAGTAAGTTACATTTTAACTCAAATATTTGCTTGTAAATCATTTAAAAATAAAATTACAAGTTTATTTTGTATGTCTTCTGAAACGAAATTTTGCAAACTTTTAGAGACCATATTCTCTGGCAACGTGGGATTAGCGATATCGCAGACTCTCATCTTAACGGGCATGCTGCAGTTCGGAGTTCGCCAAACAGCGGAAGTGATCTCACAAATGACTAGCGTAGAGCGAATCCTACAATACACTCATATTGAACGCGAACCCCAATGGGATAAAGGAAGTAAGTAAATTCCATTTCCCCAGAACTAATATTATGAATACGTAACTACAATGTACTTAGTACAACTTATTAAAACTAAGAGATACTGGGTTCTGATTTGACTCGCTCATAATTTACGTTTACGTACATAATATATCTGTTATTCACGATCTGATTTAGGCTGTAACGTTGAGAACAAACCAAATGAAAATTCTTTATACATCTATAGAAAGCAAATAAATCTACATACAATGCGTATAATTTTTATGTAAATATAAATAAATGTGTCTGTTGTGTAATAGTAAGAAATATAATAGTAATATTGAAGCCATTAAATTACATTGTTATTGCAGCTAAAGAAACCCCTAAAGGTTGGCCTTGGTGTGGACGCATTGAGTTTCGTAATTGTTTCATGAAATACACTACTGAAGATTTGCCTGTACTAAAAAATCTAAACCTAGTCATCGAAAGCGGTTGGAAGGTAACTTTATATTTTACCAAAATTAATCTTTTTAAGTCTACATTCTATACTAATACTAGCAATATCCCCAGTTTCGCCTGCGTTCAAATTACTAAAAAATAAACTTTTTGACACACCGACAGCAGCGCCATCTACTGGGTTCAATTTTGTTTTCAAACCATCCAGGAGCCTATTATAAATAAGCCTAAATATACACACAAAATTTCATCCAAATCGGTCCAGCCCTTTAGGAGGAGTAAGGTGACAAACACGCGTACAGAAGAATTAATCCCTCCAGGGCCGTGGACACGCCGGCGCGGCGTTACAGGTAACAATAGATTTCTTAGAAATTTAATTAATTTCTTAGAAATTTACCTGGCGGTGTTAAGATACATAACTGAAGAATTTTTGTGTTTCTGTGAACACAATAATCGGTCGTCGAATCATTTCATTCAAATTTCAAGAAAGTTATTAGCTATTTAACATCACGCGGATTTAATAGCAATTATGGAAAACAATTATATATAAAATCCGTTTCAAATACAATTTTAGTCAAAACTAAACGGTGAAACAATTTTTATGTAATGTAGAAATAATTCAATTTTAATCTGGAGATCATTCTTGATGAATAATATCCTTTAAAAATATAAAACAAGAATAAAAATCTTTCACAATTGGTGTATTATTCATTATTACTCATACACAAACAATTAAATAAAAAATATATATTAATTATTTATACGGAATTTGTCTCACAGATCTTACTGTAAGGTAACATTTATATAACTTATACAATTTTAAATACCTAATTGCATCTGCAGATATATCTACATGACATGCGTAGGTATATAAGTTACTTGATCTCGTATATAGTATAGTTTCTTATAGAAGAGTTGCAAAATGACGAGCGATCACAAAGACTTCATTGTAGGATGCCTTACATAAAACCTTTTTATTTGAAAATCAAGATGTATTTTTGCGATAATATTTATTATATAATTTGTGAAATATTTTACATTAACCAAAATACACAAGTTTAAAAAACAATTCAACGCACGTAAACGTATTATAGTTTAGGTAGAAGTCAATCTATACATATAATAAAATTCTAACTGAGCCAAATCTGTACATTAAATATTTTTTGGAAAATCTTATTGAAATAGACATTATTATCGATACAGAGGCCAAATCTATAGTTTTTAGAATTTTTGTCTGTCTGTCTGTCTGTCTGTTACCGCATCATGAGAAAACCACTGGACAGATTTTGATGAAATTTGGTATGATGATAGCTGGCCATCCGGGTTTTTTTTACCGCGGAAAAATATCTCATTTCTGAGAAAAAATACAAAAACTGCAATGTAAGAGTATACTTATATGTAAAACCTAAGAATTTATATTTTGGTCATCTGAACGCGGGCGGAGCCGCGGACAATGCTAGTTAAAAATAAACGTAAAATAAAATGTTAATTTATTGTGTAGGTGGGAATAGTCGGCAGAACTGGTGCCGGCAAATCATCTCTCATCTCTTCATTATTCCGACTTGCTATCATTGAGGGAGAAGTTCTCATTGATGAAGTTGATACCGGACATCTATCCCTTCAGGTACATTTATATATTAAATACAAGTATAAAACCGTTACCAATACTTACTTCAAATTCTCCCGGTACTAATCGATGACAATTTATATTCGACAGGATTTGCGATCGAAGATATCAATTATACCTCAGGAGCCAGTTCTATTTTCAGCGACCATTCGTTATAATTTAGATCCATTTAATAGCTATGATGATGAAAAATTATGGAAAGCTCTGGAAGCTGTAAGTATTAACTGTAATCCGTTTAATTAAAATTAACCGTTTTTTAATTTATCTAAAACTCACGAATCATTTCGTTATAGGTTGACTTAAAAGGAGCAATTCCAGCATTGGATTTCAAAGTATCTGAAGGAGGTTCAAACTTTTCACTCGGGCAAAGACAACTGGTGTGCCTTGCGCGCGCCATTCTTCGTGGCAATCGTATTCTAGTACTAGATGAAGCAACAGCTAACGTGGATCCTAAGTAAGCATTTTTTATCATGGAATTTTCAACCTACTTACTACATCGATAAGAAATGTTTTTTAACCGAATTAGAATAAGGTGTAGGTAGAGCAGTAGTAGTAGTGAGATTGGTCGCCTTGACCAAAATCGATCACGAGGACATTAGTATAATAATAAAGGAAGAATACCTACTAACATTATTAGAATATGAAAAATATACATTTTTCTATCTACCTACTGTTCTAATTCATTTTTTTGTTTCCAGGACCGACGAATTTATACAAAAAACGATAAGAAAACGTTTCTCAGATTGCACTGTTTTAACAGTGGCTCATCGACTTAACACAATTATGGATTCTGACAGAGTTATGGTCATGGATTCTGGTCGCCTCGTCGAGTTTGACCACCCTTACAGATTGTTAAACAATCCAGAAGGTTACTTCACGAAGATGGTCAAAGAAACTAGTGAAAAAATGTCATCACAACTCTACCAAATTGCGAAAAAAACCTTTCTCGACAGTGGTGGAGTGATAGAGTAAAGAGTTGTTAATTGTTAAGGTTATTGTAATTAGACCAATAAGTTAAATGTTTTGGAATGATGCAGTTAGGTACTTAGAATTATTATTGTTGTAACACCAAGGGTAAAAAAATTGCTGAGGGCAAGTAATTTATAAGTTTAAAAAAAATTGTTGCCATAATTTAAATTGATTATTATTTTAAATCTTGTCTTGTAAGTAAATGTCTATGTATATTTTTAGATGTATAAAATATTATTAACTATTCAATAAAATAGATGTTTAAGCATTCCAACTATATAAATTTTGTACATAACGGCATGTTATTCCAATACAGACTGAATGATGAGTAAGAATGAATGCATCTTTAGATTTTAAGTATCCTTTTACTAACACAAAATTAATTTGTTATTTATTCTCAATATAGCATCATATACTTTTATTGAAAAATTACATTTGTGAATGCCATAGAGGATATCCTCAAACTATTAAAAGTAAGCTTTAATGAGTGTTTTATTTAGTTACTAGCAACTCACCCCCCCTTCTCTCGGTTTCACCCCTAGGTTGATTCCCCATACAAATTTTCATCCCCATATTCACCCCCATAAAGGATGACTTCCGGGATAGAAATATCCTCGTATCCTATTTCCTTCCTAGGGTCTCAAACTATCCTTTTACCAAATTTCATCTGAATCGGTTCAGTAGAGCCATAAATTACCCCCTAAAACCTAACAAACTTTACCTGTTTATAATAAGATAAATTTCCATATATCTGCAGGATAACTAAACTACCTCATTTTAAGCATTTATTTAATTAATAAAGTACTATCATGTATATTTGGGAAAAGCATAAGGATTAAAAAAATAGATTTTTCAATAAGACTATATTCAACAGCAACTTTTGTTTGCACACATAACATAATCCATAAAAAAAAATTAATACTTATGAACAACCTAAAAACTAACAACTATAACATGCAAAAGTAATGTTCTCAAGATAATGTTCCATATGTAATAAAAGAAACAGAGGAGCAATATTATCATATAAAACTTATTTGTAAACTTCAATATACTTTTCCTAAGCAATAAAAAACTAGCAGAAACATAATGTAATAAATCGACTAAGACTTAACAATACATTCAATTACTTATACTTATAACTTAAGGTTTTCACTTTTGAATCATTTACACATTTCAAGTATTTTAACTTAAACTAAACAAAATATTTATACTTAAAACAAATTCAGATCCTGCTGATATTCATCTACACTAAATGCCTAGCTAAAGCAAGCTACTTAATTCCTTGTATATTTACTTAAGCCCATGATTTAATTAATGATTATTAATTTCAAATATCAATGTTTACTGTTAACTAAAACTATTGCACCATTTTTATTCTATATCAGGCAATTCTTCCTCTTCATTACAGCTTGAATCATCATTTTCATAGTCATCTCCAAAATCTCCAATCTTGTTAGAGAACATGTCATCCATATTATCATACTCTTCACCACTTTCCTCTTCATCTTGCCATCTATTAAAATCTACTCTAAGCCAGTGGTGTTTCTTTTTGTCACTGGTCAATGCAGGCCAAAAGGCCTCGTCCTGTTTTTCTTTGGCTAATACAACTTCAATTAGTCTACCTTTATTCACATAGCTACTTTTATCTGGATCTACTTCGGCATATAAAGGTATGCAAACTTCATATAATTTCTGTTCTGGTGTACAAGTACCTTTAAATAAAATTATTTTTTTCTCTATCTTAATATACGGCTTATCACATTCCACGTTGAACGTTAAAAATACACGAGTATTTGTCTGTGCCCAGGAAACTGACGGTGGAGTCACTACTGCATCTGAATTCATTTTACGTAGTTTATATGTTCTTCGTAGTAGTTATTGGTGTTAGGCACTTCTTTCTTTTAGTAGTATTATACTATTTTAATCAACTTAGTAAATTTTTACACTAATTGGGTAAATACAGTATAACATTCTCGAAGCACGTCTTAACTCTTGAGTTGACTCTGTCATTTGACATTTGATGATTTGACAAATGACAATTGAATTTATTGAATATTGATATAACATACGTTAGCGCCACAAGGCACAAACTAATAGTTCTATGTTTATTAGTTCTAATAAACAAATGCTACGCAGTTAGCGCTTAGCCGTTCTAACCATGTTTTTAGTTGATAACTTACAATATGTTATTTATGTCAATTAAAATATTATTTGAACAACAAAATAGATGATTTTTTTTGCATTATAATTTCAATGACCATAATATATCATACAATTTTATCAGTAGTTTTGAGGCTGCTCTATTTATTCGCCGGAACAAACTAAATGTTGCCGAATAGTAGCATGTATGCCTCAGCACGACCGAATTTTTGATACAAATCAAAGAGAATAAACAAATAATATTGCATATATAATCGATAATGGACGCAGTTTCATAGTAAATATATAGGAGGCAAATTTCTGCGGTTCGATTCGTCTCGACTCGGCGAACTAGTAGATGCCAGCCATTATAGTGTATGTACACTTTAGAGTTAAAAGATTGGAGCGCCGTCACGACCTACTTTGCTGACGAGTTGCAATAAATGAGCGAGTCGATTCGATTCGGATGAAATGGACGCACAAGGAATAAAATACGACTCGAGTCAATTCGCCTCGATTTGACGCGTTTCTGCTGAAGTCGACGCCAGACCTAAGGCCACCTTATCACATTTTGTGATAGTCTACCAAGAATACCTGTGTGTGTAAATGTTGCTTAAAGTATTTTCGTTGCTTGTTTGAAAAATAAAAACGGCTAAATATGTAAGGTTAGATTGTTTACAGTAAAAGTTAATAGATTCTAACAAAAAAGAGGATCAAGTGCCTCTGTCTCGCCTATCGATTTGTTATTGAAATTTAAGTAAAATTAAGAAAAGTTCAAAAATATGTATCAAAAACATATACCATATGTAATGGTTTTAAAAAAAGTTTGTGAAGCAAAACGAAATAATGCGCTTGTTAATTAATATTGCATATAATATTATGACAAGCATACACCAATCTCCACAAACATCGGATTTCATCCGCTGTTCATCGAATGTACTGTACTACATCGGATTTATTTTACTTTATTAAATTGCAACGATTAACTTCATATTTTTTTTTCATTATGTATGGGTACTAGTATGTATGCGTCCGTGCATACGTACGTGCAAGCATGCTTGATGCGCGCGCGTGTGTGTGTACATTTACCCTCTCTTAATCAGTAATCTTATATTATAAATTATAATAATCTCCTTGTCGCTTCCGGTCCTGTCATGTATCGCTGTAAAATCAAATCCGAGATCGGACAAAATCTAATCGTCTTTTAAATAGTCTATTTGAAACTTTAGGTTTTAGTTAATGTTAGTAATCATGGATGACAAATAAAATTAGTAATCTACAACCTAAATAAATAGATAAGTTTATGTAGTCTGAGACCTGAGCTTGTCTATGACCTATGTAAATATGTCAATGTACCAAGCATTGATGAAAAATAAAAGTACCATTATACCAAGTACCAAGTGACAACCAAATATATCATAACAACAACATTAGCAAATTGTGTTATGTAAATTCTTATTATAATAAATGTTCATGAACAAAATAGGTCGCCAGAAAATAACATTTCAAAGTCTAACGTTCAACGAACTGACTATGTTAGTCTTAGCAAACCAACCATAACAGGATTTATGAGTGTCGATGTTAAAAGACATTACCACCCGGATTTATCTCAACTAAAATTTTTAAACTCTATCACCAATGAACCAACATCATCAAACTTAAATCATAATATAGATGCTGCAATAAAACGCACAACTGAAAATAATGATGAAAAAATTGATCTTCTTCTCCGATTTATTGTAGATCATAAACAATTATTAATGAATCACATAGACTTCATTACGTTAATAAGTATAATGTGCAGTGTTTTTAATATTAAAGAATCTATAACTATAGAAGCATGCTTATACAAAGATTCCATATATTTGTAGTCAGTTGAAAGCCAACAAGAAATCTTAAGAAAAAGACGTCGTACTAAGGATGTTGAAAAATATTGTGCTTGGGGCAAAAAAATTGAACAATTCTTGCTTTCAGGTATTTTTAAGTTAGTAAAAATCCAACATTGTATTGTATTATTATTTTACACCATTTTACTTTATTTACAGATGAACCAAATTTAGATCTGGGTATTGAGAAACCTGTTGTTGAAAATGAAGAATTCTCAATATTTTATAAGGCATCACTAAGAAATCTTGAATTATTGTATGGAGCACAAATTGATGGATTATTGACCTCTATGTCAACATGTAAAGTCCCCACTACCAAAGATTATGATACTAATATAAGTAATTTGGAAAGTAATAATTTTGTGGAACTTAAAACAAATAGAGAAATATTTAATTATAAACAAGAAAGAAATTTTAAGTTAGTATTTTAAAATTATATAATCTAAAGTTTTTTGTGTTATACTGTTATGATGTAAACATTTAATCTATTTTGATTTGTTTAATATTACTTGATAATTGAGTACTTGAGTAATTAACTACTGTAACTTTACCAAAATTAAATTTAAAATTACAGGCGCTATAAATTATTAAAGTGTTGGTGTCAGTGCTACTTAGCTAATTTAAAAGGATTATATGTAGGCTATCGGAATAGTCTAGGCATAGTCCAAAGACTGCAATGGTTTAACACTGAAGATATATCCACATACTGTAAGGTATATTTGCTTTATTTAATTTATGTAGTTTCTATGTATTTGCATAAGATTTTTGTCAATAAAATTATAAATGGCCATAATTATGTTTCATCCAATAAAATATTTTTTTAAATACATATTTTTGGTTTCAGAATGAATGGAATCCTCAAGTGGCTATAAATTATTTACATTATTTTTTAATTCAAATTAAAAATGGCTTTAAAGTATACAAACAAAAAGAACCAATAACTCTTAGGTTTTACCTGAATTTAGATGGTAAAATAACAGTTTCTGTATGTAATGATAGTATATTACCCAGTTGGTTTATTAAAATATATAAAATTACAAATGGTTTCCTTTACATAGGTTAAAATTAAATATTTACCATGGATGCCTAATATATTTACTTACATCTTCAACATCTGATAAAGATAATAATACTACAAGTATGGGCACAACACAAACAATATTTATACTCAATCTAAATATTTATCCAATGTCAAATTGAACACTTCTACAATAAAAGCTGTTCAACAGTGGCGGCCTTAGGGGGTGGCGAGCAGGGCAACCGCCCGGGGCCTCGCACTTTCAGTAGCCTCGCGCCTTCGCACAACAACCCAAGTGTATTAGAATCTCGTGCCTTACGCCATACATTACAAAACCCACAACGTGCAAGTACAAGCACATATCACGTATTTTTCAATAAATCTTTATTAATATTAAATCTTGCACTATTAAGTATAAGTAATAATAGTAAAGAGTGAATTAGTAAAAAAAACTGCGTTAAACTGCTTGTAATTTTTTTATAAATTTTATGTGCAAAAATGATTTTCAAACTGAGTTTGGCCGATTGTGTTGCCAGTAGAAAAAATTAGTTCAATAGTTCAAAAAGGCAACAAGCTATCAAAAGAAAGCATTTAGACAATATCTTTATGTGTATTTGTATAAATATATAAAAGACAATGGCTTCTAAGTCCTTGAGACTCTTTAGTGACTGAAAGTTACATGTTATTGCATTCTAATCCTAACCCAGCTGAAATATTTTTTTCAACAACAACAGTGAGTAAGCAACATCATTGTTACTCCACCGCCATCGCCGTCGTGAACACTATCCAGCCAAAAATACGTACCTAAATCTATGTCTACATCCAGTGGCGGAATTGAAAATCTGAATCCTTGAAATGACCCAGATTTATGGCCATCAATAATTACTGATGCAGACCGAACTAAGATTTCATTGAAAGGTCTAATCTGTTCTAAGACAGAATTTCTTCAAACGATAGTGGACGGTGACTCATTGATGATGATGATGATGATGTTCTCCAAGCCGATTCCAGCCACGGCGGCCAATGTCATTGAGTCTAGCCAACTGCTCAGGAGATATTATAGTGCTCAAGTGTACGCGCAGGCACAAGTGCACTCTCTATTCCTATCACTCTCATACTCCGGTGGGACGACTGCTCGACACGACCAGTGAGAGTTAAGGCGCAGGACCGACGGCTTTACGTGCTCTCCGAGGCACGGGGGTGAAACACCGCCAACTTCTCCACTCCAGGCTGTTACTGACATTTACTATACAGAAAGACTCATTCATTGAATAGGTATCATTACAATAAAATATTAGCTAATGGCGAAAAACTAGACAGGCACTGGATGAGTTATTCACAAACAAAATATGCCATTTACTGCATTCTATGTCAATTGTTCAGAATAGAATACAAAAAATTGGGTCCAGTGCAGAAGTTTTCAATTGGAAAAACTTGGATAAATATTTAAAGTTTCATTAATCTAGTCGACTGCAAAAAGATCGTATGTTAAAATGGTTAAATTTAGAGATCGGGTGTGAACGTATGGTTAAATTTAGAGACTGGCTTATAAAAGCTGTACATCTATTGACTCTTTAGCCCAGAGTCTTTGGCCCTCCAGAGTGGAGCACAAGAGCCAAGTGCTTAAAAGAGTAGAAGTGCTCAATATGCAAAATAACGAGGAAACCCGCTCACGAGCATTTGCGATGGTGAAACCAGTGCACATTTCTCGACACCTATAGCCGACCACGCTGATACTGTGCCCGAGTCATTATACCGCGAGTGGGAGGCGAGTAACCGTACGCCAAATATTGAATCTGAGACTGTTGAGAAGGCGAACGCCCGATAGTCTTATCCAATAGCCCAGTTTTGTAGCCCATCCAAACTCCATTCCATAGACCCTATTAGTGTTTTAAATTTTCCATAGTCCCTACGCATTATCTGGACCATATTTGAGCAATTCCTTTTATGGGTTACTCAGAGATGGATCCCGGCTGATGCTTCATGTTAAACGCTTAAATCTCAAGGGTCTCTACGTGTTGAACCTGAGGAACACAAGTCTTCCAAACGGCCGGGCTCCTCCAAGCCCGTGAATTCTAAAGGGATACAAATAATGTCCACATCTCGGAAAAATATTCAAAATGAGTTTATAAAATTAATGGCAAGTCACGAGAATTAATGGCAAGCAAGACTAAAAATGTTAACAAAATAATAAATTTTTCTTCTTTGTGCTTGTTAACTTTTCTGAATTTCCAATATACAATTTTAAAACTCTAAATTTATTTATTTATAACTTTTGCATTTCTCGTCAAGCATCATCATTAAAAATATTTTCAATTCACATAAATTCCGTAAAGGATAAGGGCCTCGCAAAGATCTACTGCCCGGGGCCTCGCAATGGCTAAGGCCGCCCCTGCTGTTCAAAATATACATAATAAATGTATTACTCTCCTAGGTATATTTTAATTAGAACCTAGCAAGGATTAATATTCTAAATCCAATAAAACCTTATACTGCATATGTACAAAATAATAAAAAAGCTACTATCTTGACAATCTATGACAGTAATGGAACTGGCCCATGTAAAATGAAATAAATTTTATATATCCACAATCTCCTACAATGTTTATTTATAAACAAAATACTTAAATAAAACTGAAAATTCCTGGAATGCTGAGCCAAAGATATTTGATTTATTAAAATGGGGCAAATTGACGAAAGATCATCATCTATAAAAATGGCAAAAAGTTCGTCTGACGCGAAGAAAAGTTCAAAGGCTGCTGCAGTCTATGTAGGAAAAGAATCTATCAATTTGTGTGATCCTAAAGTGCAAGGAGTATTACTTGTGTTATTGTTAGCTGTATTAGCAATAGCACTTTGGTTCGGCTATACCCGCGGCTGCTTGGGAACGAGACGCCGAAGAAGAAGACGGTCATGTAGTTGGTATGATTGCCATTTTTACTACTTCTTTGATTCATAATGTGTTTATAAAATTTTCATATATTAAATTTTTATGTGAATAATCTTTTCAGCCTTTACAACTAAATATTTGATGACAATTAACTTGATATATAAACAGTAAATTTGTCTGGAACTGGATATTTTCCATAATAAATACATACATACATTATAATGTTATAAATAATAAGAAACATGTTGGTTTTATTATATCATATATTTATTTACTAAAGTAATCTGAATTACATTTTTGTATTTAAAGAGTGGACACGGAACTGAAACACCAGCACTTTGTCGGAAGTCCACCATACTGTGGTGAGACACTACTACTGGAGTTATCTGAAAATTAAGACTGCTTTTATAGTATGCACTATCACACACATAATATATGTACTCAATACAAAAACTAGTATTATATTCAATCATTATTGGTATAGTTATTATATATATCTACTCATAAACTTGTTAAACTCTGATAACTTGTGTAAAATTAATTGATGTGATTAAATTATATAAACAATTTTTTTTTAATTATAACTTCCTATTAATTATTAACCTCAAATTATTCGTTACCAATCAGTTTTGGGGGTTTCCTCCCATTTTTCGCCGCTGTTTTCCCAATCGTCATTATCTCCTGCATTTTCTTCTTCCTTGTTTTCAATTCCAACTAAAATCATTGGATAAATTATGTTATGATGAAGAAATACTCCTTTTTTTAACCTTTTTTATACACAATTTAAGTGTATATAAATTGGACTACCATTATAAATATGAAAGTTTATATTTGTGTGTTGTTTACTATTTTTATTATAAGCTTTAAATGTTTAGTATATAGACTATGACCTATGGCCCGGCTACTGTTAGGCACCACATGCTCAGGAATGCAGAATAATGCAAAATGAGGGTAAATGTCTTGTCTATACATATAATAAAATTGTAACTAAGTCGAATCTGTACATTAAATATTTTTTGGAAAATCCAATTCAAAAAGACATTATTATCGATACAGAGGCCGAATCTATGGTTTTTAAAATTTTTGTCTGTCTGTCTGTTACCGCATCACAGAAAAACTACTGGAGGGATTTTAATGAAATTTGGTATGGTCATAGCTGGTTATCCGGGTTAACATATAGGATACTTTTTACTGCGGGAAAATGTCTCATTTCTGAAAAAAAATCCAAAAACTGCAATGTAAGAGTATACTTAATATGTAAAACCTAAGAATTAGGTTTTTGGTCATGAATGCGAGCGGAGCCGCGGGCAATGCTAGTTTTTAAATAATATTTTATTTTCAAATTTAAATAATAGTCCAAGTAAGAACCTATTCCTTTTTTAAACTCGTTTAAAATGTAATATCGAAAATACAATTTTACCTTCCATAGACTCATCAGCCTCCAGTTCTTCATCATCTAGAAAAAATATATTTTAAAATATTAGAAATATTATAAATGGAAAATATTTAAGTTTGCATGTAAGGGGATGATCTCAGGAACTAACAAAAAACTAATGATCCAATTCGAAAATTCTTTTTCAAATGATAAGTCATCCTTATAGGCTATAAAAATATAATAATAGGAAAAGTTTTTTCAGCAGTCTCGGAAAAATACTAATGAGGTGTCATTTGATTCCGAATGGAATGAAGATGATTTTTGAAAAAAATAAAGTTCCGCTTTCAAAAATTTACTATAAATGAAAGAGGGGCTTTAGTTTTTTGCAAATCTACACTAATATTATAAAGAGGTAAAATTGTGATATTGTGAGTTTGTGACGTTGTAGAGGGGTAATCTCTGGATCTACTGAACCAATTTTCAAAATTCTTTTACCAATAGCAAGCCACGTTCTTTCTGAGTGTCATAGGCTATATATTAACCCGAAGAATGAAAAGACTTTTTCATGGTAGTCGGATTTGCAAAGTAAGTCGGAAAAAAAACAATCGAACGGAAACGTTTCTTATGAATGTTGCCTTAACGATGAGAGATGTATGATTATGTTCTAGAGAATAGTTGTAGAGCTTAATAATGCCTTTATAAAAGTCAGAACAGCATATGTCTAACTTTTATATTTAGGTCACAAAAAGTAGTTTTTTATATAACTAGAGTTAAATAAAGATTTTATTATATCTCTTTAGTTTACCTTTCAATGTATATGTCATGCTGACAGTAAAAGGTAAGACAAATATTTACCAGCGTTATCTTCTGCCGTTGCTGAATCCTCATTTCCACCACCCTTCATCATCTTCAGGATGTGTTGCTTCTCCTTTGCAAGATGTCTCTTGCCATTCAAATGCATTGTCATTTGATCAGTACATGTCACCGATGTCTATAATAAAAATAAAATAGTGTAAATATAGTAATCATATATATGTACTATAATGATAGTAATCATATACTAATAATATACTAGCGATAAATCTATACATATAATAAAGCTTTAACTAAGACGAATCTGTAGATTAAATATTTTTTGGAAAATCTTATAGAAATAAACATTTTTATCGATAAAGAGGCCGAATCTATAGTTTTTAGAATTTTTGTCCGTCTGTTACCGCTTCACAGAAAAACTACTGGAGGGATTTTGATGAAATTTGGTATGGTGATATAGCTGGTTATCCGGGTCAACATATAGGATATCTTTTACCGCGAGAAAATATCTCATTTCTGAGAAAAAATACAAAAACTGTAATGTAAGAGTATATTAATATGTAAAACCGAAGAATTTGGTCTTCGGTCATCTAAACGCGGGCGAAGCCGCGGGCAATGCTAGTATAATATAATTGTAAGTTGTATTATGCCACTATAAAGTTTATGTACGATTTTTGCCTCTTCGGCTTGTGGAAATCGGCAGATTATTGATTTGCACACTTTTTAGGATGTAATTAGCCCACCATACCTTAATCCGAGTTTTTTTTTAATATTTTGATCGGCTCCCCTAGACGCACGCTCTTATATAGAGGATATATTATGGTGGAGATAGTCAACAGTGTGCAAGGCATCCCCCCTTATGTTGATCTGCCGCGCCTGAGTGAATCCCAAAATCCTCTCTTGGGCTCCCCTACTTTCCGGGTAGCATAATTTCACATAATACACATTAAACAGATTTAATTCTGTTTTTTGTTATGATTTACTGTACCTTAGATCATAATATTCTATTTTAATATTGGTTGTAGAAGAGCGGGATCTGTCACAGGTTATTTTTAACTTACTATGAGCCAACCTTATACCACAAATGTAATTCAGTTTAAAGAAATCATTTCATTTAAAAAAAATATATAGTAGTATATAAAAATTTGTTGTCCAGGGCCTTTACAACTATACAATTGACCTTTACAATAGCCCAAAAGCGAGATATATCTGAAACGGTATTACTCTGACATAGTTATTTTTTATTCCCTTTGATATTTTCAGTACAACTAAGAAAATACGTGAGTCACCTATTAGGACCACACAATTTTAACCCCCGACGCAAAAACGACGGGGTTGTTATAAGTTTGACGTGTCTGTGTATATGTGTGTGTATGTATCTATGGGTATGAGTATGTGTGTGTGCCTGGGTGTGGCATCGTAGCTCCCGAACAGATGAATCGATTTTGATTTTCTTCTTTGTTTGAAAGGTGAATTAGTTGGGAGTGTTCTTAGCTGTTTTTATGTTTGATGAAAATTGGTCCTAAGTGGACGGTTTTTTTTTTTAATTTATCATTATTCTAAGAAAATATTTATATTACTTAGAAAGTGTAAAATTACAAAATCCAGCCGGCGAAACCAAGGCAAATTGTACATAATATATTTGTAAACTGTAATTTTAATGTACCTTGCATATATCGCAATACAACTCGGACTGTACAGGCTTCACTTCCTTGGGATTTTCCGCTAACTCCTCTTCCAAAGGCTTAAGGTGTTTTTTTTCACGGCGAATAAGTTGTTCACTAAAAATATTGATTACACCTTAGTAAGGTTTCTTAATAAATTCAATACTTATCAACTAAGTTATGTGTTAATATGTTTAACTTTAGAAATTTAGGTACTTACACTCTATCCTCCATTCCTTGTTGAAGCAAAAATGGATTCTTTGGGTTCTTACGCCCCTCAACAATTCTGTAAAGAAAACAGTTCTTATTTATTATAAATAGTAATAAATAATAATATATAGGTTTATAATATATATGTAGTTTCCTTTGGCTCAGTTTGTAGTGACCCTACTTGCTGTGCCAGTGGTCGCGGGTTCGAGTCCCGCTGGGAGCATTCATTTATGTGATGAGCGACGAATGTTTGTACTCCAGTCATGGTCATGTTTATATTTATAATTTATTAGCAGAACCCGCGGCTTTACTCGCGCTAAAACTACAAAAAAAAACCCTATAAGGGTAGTTTCATACAAACTTTCACTCCCTGTTTTACCCCCTTACAGGATGAATTTCGGAAAACGCTAAAACACGTATTTATTTAATTTTATTGAAGAGCATTAATACCAAGTTTCAAGTAATTCTGATCATAAACATTTTTTGGATTGTATTATAACGTGTTTTCCCGTGGGAATAAGATACTCTCCTGCAGTAAAAAGTAGCCTATATCACTCTGCAGCCCTCCAAGTATCTCCACACAAAAAATCACGCCAATCGGTCATTCCATTTTGACGTGAAAGAAAGACAAACAAATAAACAAACAAACATTTATAATATTAAGTATGGATGTATGTATTAAAAGTTATATACATATGTGTAGTATATCAACTATCTGGTATCCATAACACAAACCTCGTAGCTTACCATGGAACTAGCGGGTGCCGTGTGTTAATATTCCAATATATTTATTATTATTTATAAGTCTAACTAATTTTACAACCTAATTTTGTCTTTACATTTACATAACTTTTGATTGACTTCAGAAATGAAGAGGTATTCGCGTATATGTATTTCTCTTTATTGGATATGTTCAACAATAACCAAGTCAACTGTAAAATACCAAACAAATTTCAATTAAAAATGCGTCTCCTTTGGATGGAAATATTACATTTTAAGTGGTTTTCTTATCACTGTTTTTTAGGAAAAAAATATAACCTATTTATTGAGGAAGGTAATGCATATTCATATGTATTTTATTCAGCCCTTTTTAACGTCTCACTGCTGGGCACGAGCCTCCCTTCAATATGAGGGGGTCCAGGACTCCCAGGATTTGAACCCGCTTCACTCGGTTTTCCAAGCGAGCGGGTTACCATGCATAGCCTCAAGGAAGGTTACAGGCTATCTTAAATCACACTATAAGTAATATGTAACGCTGGTGTGGGTTAATGTTATAAAAAGGAAAGACTTTTTGTTTGTTTGTACCGAATAAACTTCGAATAGTCTCGGACAATTTAAATCGGCCCAGTAGTCTGGGCCGTTTTCAATCATCTGTTTTTCCCGGAAATCATTCCTTAAGGGGATGAAAATGGGCATGAAAGTGCGTATGGGGAATCAAGCTAAAGACGAACACGAGCGAAGCGAGGGTGAGTCGCTAGTTATATATAATTATGATAAACATACGCGCGGTGTGCCTTCCCTGCGTAGTGCGAGTCAGAGTGCGTTTTGGACGTGACGTGCACGTCGCAGAGCTCGCAGTACAACTCACGTGCCTTTAGTGGTATCTGAAAAATAAAGTTAAATTAAATACTTCATTTACATATTACATATGTTATATTATTCTCCATTATTACAAAATATCGATTTTCATTGTTCAGTTTAAATTAATAAACAGTGTAACTTTCTAAATAAAAAGTCAGTAATATTTTTATAGATACAATTAATTATATGAAAATATTTCATATATATAATTGTGCATACCTAATGGGAATGTTGGTTTAAATAGAAACTTCACGTCAATAGCAACGTGAAGATAGACAATTTGTTGCAATGTAAGTTTCTATTTTGACGACAGTGTTCACATAAATTTCACTTGATTTAGTCTGTCGGCAAATGATTGGTATCTTGCAAACAGCATTTCAAGTGAATGCAATTTATGATGTTTAATTTCTTTAAATTATTTATTTATTTTTATTATGTGAATCAAAACGTCGCCAAAATGGCTACGGAAACGTTACGTGGACAAATTGTCTAGTTACCTCTTTGATGCGACGGAATCCTATCTCAGATTGTTGGTTTAACCATTTTTTCTGATTCTTCAGATGATTTTTGGAAATGTAATGTATGCGAGCTGTAAACAAATTAAATGGGAATACACCGTAAAATTATAAAATAATAAAATAAAAATATTATTTCTTTACAAATGTTATTTAATTAATAAGCATGCATCCATACTCACATGTCGGGAATGAATCAAAACTCTGAGCGCAAAGCCCGCAGTAATCAGGTTCCATGAGTGCTAACATATCGCGCGGTAAGTTCTTTAAATGCTCCTTTGCCACACCGCAACCTATAGCAAAATAAATATATTTATGTACACAGGTTATTTTTTAATTATTATTTTTTCAAACTCCTAACCACAGCTCTACGTGCATGGCTTTTTACTCTACAAGTTCCACTACTAGTTTAATCTTACTGACAATATCTTGACAGTAATATTCAATAACTATACTTGGATCAAGCTAGCACTCAAACCCTAGATAATGGAATCTGTGTTGTAACATGGTGGCAACTAGATAAATTAAATTATACTTACGTAATAAATATTTGATTGTTTTATCATCCATCGGATGTCTTCTCACAGGTGGTCCACCAGGCCCAAACCCTCGGCCCCAAGAAAAATTTCCCGGTGGTGGTCCCTGTGGGAACATTGGTGGGGGTCCAAAGTTGTTTGGAGGATAAAAGTTGCCCCTGGGTCTAAAATTACGGTTATTACCACCACCTGGTGGTCCAAACCCACTCGGTGGCCCAAACCCACCCGGTGGCCCAAACCCACCCGGAGATCCATAGCCTCCACAATAATTTCCATAAGCATTATTATAACGATCATTCCTGTAATAAATTGTATTTTTTTATTCAGTAATTTGAGGCATATTGCTAACCAACACCATTTTTGTTTCTTTCCAAACGTTTTAATTAAAAATTTAAAATATTGGCAATATGATTCCCTAAAATGTCATATGTCTCAGATATTTGAAAATAAAGATTTTAAGAGTATAAACTAAGTGCCATTGCACATAAACTTTTAATAATTAATTATTGTAACGGCGGGCAGTTTTTTTAACCCTTAACCACCTTCCACGGGTCTCAGAGACCGCAACGAATTTTTAAATTCAAATATTTCTATGTGTCAGAGTGCGTCCTTGTACCTTTTCTACACATCGAATAGTATCGCGCTTGCACTTGGTGAGTATACAAGTGCGCGCGTTTGGCTTAGGTAAATAAAAATATTTATTCAGCGGTGTTCGAGACCGCACGTAGGTAGTTATGTGATTTTTTTGTATTCATTTACTTTTATTATTTTAGCGTAAAAATAAATCAAAACGAACAAAATATTGAAAGATGGCTGTAGTAAGAGTTGTCAGATGAGTAAGACATGCCAAACGAGGGTTGTATCGACGAGAATTTGATTTTACTGAGGATAGTGTGCAAATTGAAGACTGAATCCAAGTCTAAAACCAACTGTTTTGTGTCACGTCATTATCAACCTCAATTTTAGGTTGATGATGACGTCACACAAAACAGTTGGTTTTAAGCTGAATCATCCGGTAGATTTTGTTCAAGGTCAAGATCTTGAGTCACTTCACGATCCCTCTCATGCGGCGCCCTAGACGGAGTTAGGGCGCCGCATGTAAGTGACACTTCAAATGGTGATATCCATTCCATATCCATCATTTCACATCTACAACCTGGAGGTAGGCCCAGAAAAAAATATTTTGGGTCTAATCATTTTCGTTGGGCAAATATACCCAACGTGGTTCGTGCAACAACACCGCAACACAATAACATTCAGCAAAAACCAGCTTTTCGTAATATACACTTGTCGTATTCTACAGATAAATGAAAATTTACCAAGCACATCTGATGTAGACAAACTTGAAGCACGCAAAACATGTTTTAAATGTAACCCAAAAAAAAAGCGCAAGACGGCTTACTGTCATGTGGAAGGTACCAATTTATTTTGAATGTACGGAAAAAATTGTGATAACTGCCGCGAAAATTTGTGAATTTTTAGGTGTTGAAATTTTGTTCAAGTTTTTATTTTATGTGTGATTTTTTATTTTAATGTTATAGTTTGTTTCCTTAATTTATAAGAATTAATGCCAAGAAGTTGAAATTTTAAGTTCCTAATCGTATAAATCTCATTTGATTAGCTTAGTGATTTTTTTATGTTAAAACTGTTATTTTGTGAAGATTTTAAAAATATTGCTAGATGTTACTTTAGTTTATGTTATTTAAGGCTCTTAAATAAAGCTTTAGATTATTTACAACAGTTTTATTGGTTCTTATATTTAGTTAATACCATAGATCTCGAATTTAAGGCAATAATCTATGAGCGGTCTCCAGGACCATACGTAGGTGGTTAAAGGACAGAAGTAGATGGTAGGTGGTTAAGGGTTAATACAAGTATGTTTAGTTACTGCATGTTTCTTGTGGTTTAATATATTACATGGTAGAGATGGTTGGATGGAGGTCTTGTATGAATTTCATTTCAAATGAAATTAAGGCTAGTTTTTTGAACAAACTCTGTGGAAGTAATTATTTAACTAAATTTAAGTCAAAATAATCTCTATTAGAGGATAAACACAAACCTATAATTATTTCGAAATTTCTTCGGTGGCCCAAATTTTCCTTGAGACTTTGCATTTTGGTTATTTTGATCTCGATTAAAATCAATTTGAGTGTTATCTAGTTTTTCATCACTATTTTCAAATCCTGTTTCAATAATATAAAATAAGTTATTAATTATCAAGACACACTGTATTTAGCTGTAAATTGTAGAAACATAGTAATGTTTGATTAAAATTTAGATGAGACAAGAGAGAGGGCAGTTGAGAGGTTAATAATTAATGCTCTAACTCTTCTTAGTTGATTCAGAATATCTGTTCAAATAGTCATTTCCTTTCAATCTTAAAGTAATAACATGATACACTGGGCAAGTATACATAACTTCCACATTAAAAAGGTACAGTCAGAAAAATAAATATAAAAAAGACAAATAAGCTTAAAGTGAATATGCATAATCTATATATTTATACCGTTATTAGAGTCATCCATGTTTGAGATAATCTATTTAACTCCAAAGAGAAATGTTTGTAATATTCAATTGATTGATTGTAAGATAAGCTTGTAATTTATTTATTTTAAATGCTTTACCTATTGGTAATTATTACCATAAAATAATCTAATTCTAAACTCTAAATTATCGATGCCGAAAGACACTAAAATTGACAGTTGACAAAAGAAAAGCCAGCGCGACACGCGTTTTACAGACTAAAAGAGAAAGACGCATCTTACCCTGCTTTCCAATGGAGAACATTTCTCGAAAGGAGGGCGCCACGCGTATCGCCTAGTATTCAGTCTCAGGTTAAGCAATTTATTGTGATATCTCTTTTATACTCGGTTTTTTGCTTCTATTGTGTTCGCATCTTACCTGTGCAATGTACTGTACCTGAAAGTTAGACCAGCTAAAGGAAGAATTAATAAGGATAGCTACATCCAGTGGTGGTCTTGACTGACTGATGGATCATCACACAGCTTAACCCGTTGGTCGTAGAAATTTGAAATGTGGAGGACGTATTTCTTATATGATATAGGCATCCGATAAGAATGATTTTTTTTAAATTCATCTCCTAAGAGGGTAATATAGGGGATTAAAGATTTTATGAAACTCTGTCATTCTTAATGTGAAATACACAGAAAGTGGTGTTTAGCTTTAAAATAAAAAAAATATTTATTAGATTTTTTTCGAAATTCATTCCTTAATGGGGTCAAAGCGGGTAATAAAGTTTACACGGGCAAAGAATTATTTACGATCATAATTACTTGATATTAATGCTCCTCAATACAGTTAAATTAATACATGTTTTAGCATTTTTCAAAGTTCAATCCTGTAAGGGGGTAAAATGGGGATGAAAGTTTGTATGAAACTCTGTAATTAATATTTAGAAAAGTATAAAAAATAAAAAAAATAATTGCATAGGCAATTTTATTTTTTCACTCTCTGTAAAATGATGTCCACAGAGCTTCAAATATTAAGTTTGTGATTTCGCCAATTTTGGACGTCTTATTGCTTTAGCCCACAATTTCTTCAGTTTTTGTCGTCTAGGATTAAATGATATTCATTTTCTTAGCATCCTGGCACTGCATAATTTGTCATTTTCAATATAGTAGAGGAGCCCAAGAGGGGATTTTCTGTAGTTACTCGAGCGCGGCAGATTAACATAAAAGAGGTTACCTTGCACTCTATTGAGTACTTTCACCACAATATAAGTCTTCTATATAAAGGGGCGCGTCTAGGGAAGCCGATTAAAATATCATAAACTTTATAGTCGATTTTTGCCTCTTCGGCTTGTGCAAATCGGCAGATTATTAAATTGGACACTTTTCAGGATGTGACTAGCCTACCACACCTTAATCTGACGGTTTCAAGTATTTCTACCTTATCAAAACATTTTTTAAATATTTTAATCGGCTTCCCAAGACGCGCCCCTTTATATAGGAGACTTATATTATGGTGAAAGTACTCAATAGAGTGCAAGGTAACCTCTTTTATGTTAATCTGCCGCGCTCGAGTAACTACAGAAAATCCCCTCTTGGGCTCCCCTACTATTAAATTTTAAATAAAATGAAAAAAATCTGGCGGGAAAAAGGAAAAATTCTTTCATATTACACAGCATGACGTCGCACTTTGGCGCAAACACGAACTACGCGAAAAACACTTTTTCTGCTACTAATTTCAATTTTGTCAACACTTTCAGTCAAGTTGTTTCTGTATTGCTTAACAAATTGTAAGTTTATTCTTTGTTATTTGTAGTGGAACCTGTGTTGGTGAATTTAGTGTTTAGTTGTATCTTTTGAAGAGTCATTATAAATTTAAAATGGACAGCATTTTGAATGTATTTATACCTGACTAATAGAGGGTCTGAGACCAAAAGTAGTTGTAGATTGGCTGATTGTTAGGAATTAGGAAGAAAACACTGAATTAAGTACTCAATCAGACAATATTTTTTGTTAATAATTAAAAATATAACTTAAAAAAATTTTTTTTGAGTGTCGACTGATGTCGTTGACTACGAATTCTCTCTGCTTTTCAAGATTTGCGAATTCCCTAAAATGCATCAAAAAGCCATTGCCTTAAGATAATTCATCCACCTAATTTACTTTACATTGTAGCCGACATTTTTCTCTGACACTTATTTTTACACATTTCTGGTTTACGTACTCTTTTTTTGTCCATTTTTTGTTCTATCACGGGCTGTTAGGATTTTTTTTTCAGCAACCATTGCATTAATACTTTCTTAGATTTACGCGAATATTTGACATTTTAAATAAAACTATCTTCTTATCTAAATCTAAGAGACCGAGTCTCTCTTGTGACCATGGTTGCTATAAAGCATTCGAAACGTCGGGAACCAATAATCAAAATAAATTCGCAAAAAAAATCCGAAAAGACAAAATAAACACACAATTTAACACAAAATAACTCTAGTTTGTTTACGACAAGCACATGCATTTCGCGTGTAATACTGACAGTAACCCATTAATTCCCAAGGGTAAAAATAAAAGCATATTTATTGGTTTTATTGTTTATTACGTTTATAAATACATCCAAAAAGAGAAAATTATAGTCCAAAAAAATATTGAATTATTAGTTTACATTCCGCAAAATGTTGCGTCTAAGCAACTTTGGGATTACTGAACTTTAATTTTACTAGCAAGTCTAACAACGCTAGAGTATTAGCATGAATGAAATATTTTCAAACAATCAGCATGAAGATGTACTTGACATTTTTTACACATATAAATTGTTGTACTTCTACACTGTCGACATCTTCTTCGACGTTTATTTTCCTGCTCTTCTATGACATGACCAATATAATCGAAGCGAATATTGGAAGGTAACGCGTTTTTCGATGGTCTTTCTAGATTTATATTTGAATTACCCAAAAAATGCAAATTATCTGCAAGTTGGGCTTCTTCGGTCTTCATTAAACTTACAGCAACGTAAGATTTGAATTCCAATTGACTCAAAGATCACTCATTCGCCAGATTGTAAATTTTCCACGAGTTTACCAAAACACTGTCAATCAAATTGATGAACAGTGGCCACCACCACTTTTTCCCTCTTACTCGAATCCTATAATTGGCTATTCCATTATCATGAAGATCTACGCCTCCCATATTTTTATTATAATCTGCTATAACCTGGAGCTGTGGCACATTCACCATCTTTTTTATCTTTCTATCGTAACGTTTTGCTGTAACCAATGGTTCGATTTTTGCGTTGTTAGTAGCCACATTCACCACAGAATTGTCATTCCATCGAACCAACAGTACTTCATATTTTTGGTCAAAGTTATAGTCAAATTACTCTCTCTCTTTTTTCTGAAGACTTTTCGTATTCATCAAGTTTTTATTCATTGTTCTATTTTCTCTAATAGTACCAGTGGCAAAATAGCCTTTCTCTTTCAGAATACAAAACAATTTATGTGAAGAAAAGAAATTAAAAAAAATGCGATGTTTGCGTGGGTCTTCAATAACGGACAATAGGTCTAAAAGAATATTTTCTCCCAGACCTAAATTATTTCTAGTAACATTACTATTCTTCCCGCCATATGGAATAAACTGGTACAGATAACCATTCGAACTACATAAGCACCATAACTTGAATCCAAATCTTACAGGCTTTCCTTTGATGAATATCTTGCAACCATGACGTCCAAAATACGGCACCATTTCTTCGTCAATTGACAAGTTGTGTGAAAATATTCCGAACTGCATATTTTTTTGGTTTATTATATTGAACATAGGACGCAATTTAGCGAATTTATCATTTTGATGCAGATCAGCATTATCACATAAATGAATATTTTCCTTTATAGAGTCGAATTTGTTACAACTCATACAATGATACATTTTTGTCTTCATCTTTTGACCAGTATAATTTCGCAGCAGGCAAAGAATGATATCCAGTCAATAATAATATACCAAAAAATCTTTTGAGTTCTGCTACCGTGAGGGTAAATAAATGACGGTTATGGTCACACGCATATTTTTTTGAAAAACCTACAATCTGTTCCCAAACTTCATCACTACAAAATAGGGAAAATACTTCAAAAGGTTCTTTTCCACCTACACGTTCTTCAATATTCTGTGTCATTGATGTTTCGTCACTTGTAGGAAAATGTATATAAGTTGGATGTTCTTTTTTCCAGTCTGGAACATATTTTGGTGACTTCTTCGGCAGTCTTGGCTTTTTCGAAGTTGAAAGACCGGGCTCACCTTGCGTATTTTCAGGCTCTGCGTGTAAATCGGTGTGGATTTCATACGTTCCAGCGATATCAGTGGGCACAGTATTGTCGTAATCACCTAGCGCGTCATCATCTAGGTCTTCCTCGTCTGTAAGATTGTCAACCGTCGGGGGGATGTACATGGCGTCGATTTGATTGGCATCTTCTAAATTCTTTTCCTCTTCTAATATACTCAGTATTTCTTGAGAAGATAATGCTCGTTGCCAAGCCATAATATTTCAACTTTTGACTTTTTATTTACTGATTTGTGTTAAGCATGGAAATGATTGCTACTTTTAAATCATTATCACGTGATGAAATTACAACAATTTTTCACGTGATTTCACCTGCTACTTTTCACGCATAGATTTTTTATTTCGACGGTCTGGTGTCACACTTTATATTATTTGCTATTAAAATGAAGTATGAAATGTCACCAATGGCGCTACTGATGTGATATGGAGCAGAGATATAGATCTGACGTAGTTGCATACGTACATGGTGCTTTGAATGAACCTATTTTCAAACAATGAACTTTCCCTCATACTTCTACAGGCTTGGGACTGACAATGTAAAATTAAATGAATTTGAAATATATCAGAGTAATCACACGGTAAAATTGTTTTAAGCTAAGTTCCATAATTACATTGGCGTATTTAAAAGTTCATTGTTTTTATGTACAATAAGAATTTTTATAAAAGAATTTTATACACTTTTTTTTTGTTTTTCTTAATTTTTTTAATTTGTGTATAATCATTTTTTTTGCTTTTTGATTTTTTTGATGATTGATTTTTTTATGAGATATCTATATACAATAGTCTTCATTGCTTTTTAAAAATACAAGTTCCGCTGTTCGTTTTCTGCTTAATCGTGCTCTTTTTTGGGTTGCAAAATTTCCCGCTTTTGAAAATACTCTCTCACACTCCACTGATGTCACCACGATGTGACAGTGCTCATGAAATATTTCCGCCAAATTGGGGTACATATAGGAGTGAGATTTCCACCAAACTAATGGCGAAGAATCGCGCGGAAGCACTGGTTCATTAATAAACATTTCTAGCTCGTTCTCAGCGTTGGTGGTTATGTCTGTACGTATTACACATAATCATTCAGTAAAAATTATAAGTATTTGTTGGATAAAAAACTAAAAATGTGCTCTAAATTTAATTGTTGTTTCTAATTTAAAATTATTTCTAAACAATATTTCTAAGAATCCGAAATCATGCAACTCGAAATAAATAAACTCCCCAATTTACTGATCAACGGTATTAACTGAAAATTGTATTTTGTTGAATAAAAAATCAATAAAAACATCAGTACGAAAATGTATACGGAAAATGCGAGTAACGAAATGCATTCGTGAGTAACGTTTCGGTACTCGGTACTAGATGGCGTACCCGTTACTCAGTAACGAATACATACGGTTTGCTACAGCTCTAGATTTCACCAAGTTGTGATTTGTAGCAGCCACTATGAATTTAAGTAGCAGGTGTGACGTATGATTACGCATTTCACGTGATTTTTCACTTGCTACTCGTGAAATGTCCCATCCCTAATTTGTGTACACTCACTTATCGTTTTTTAAGATTTACTATGTGACACTGTTAGCTTGACGTTCTATAGCCGACTAACTTATAAAACAAAAGTGCTTGTACTCTTTAAATACCGAGAATCCATTGTTTATAATAAATTTCTAACATCAATGGCAAGCTGTGTAACAATAATAATTGATAATTATTTCTCCCAACGTTGCGCATATGCAACGCTTTCTAAAACTCTAAGATAAACAGCACGTGTGAGTAGTTTTCTCCAACAAAAGGGTTTATACAATAAATAAGATATTGCTTAAGCTTTACAAAGTGTAAAAAGTATAGCTTTATTTCAGTTAATATTTTTTATAATTGAATGAATCTGTCGACCTTGAGATAACTCAATTAGCAGTTATTGAAAAATAAAAATAATATGTATTGTTATTTAAAAAACCATTTATTTTTTTTTTTAATTCATCTCTTAGTTTTTCTTCTCGAGACTGGCTTACATGTACGTACATGATTTATTTACTTATTTTAAAAACAAAAAAAAAACAAATTAGAAATGTTGCGCTCGCGCAACGATAGGTACAGATGGGGTAACTACACTGACCTCTATCAATATTATGTGGTATTATAGAGGTCAGTGGGTAACTAGCTATGTTCCTGTTTTGGTAGATGAGAATCGGACTCTTCCATACAACAAAAAGGGGTTTTAGTGTCACCTAGCATTGAGAAATGTAACTATTTTTGTATCTGTTTTATTAGTCGCTAGCTAGTAAGTTAAGGAATCCGATGGTATGCGTACGGTAACTAAAAAGATAAGATTTTTTTTTTTATACCACGTCGGTGGCAATCAGGCATGCGGCCCGCCCGATGGTAAGCGGTTACCGCAGCCTATGGACGCCTGCAACACCTGGGGCATCACATGCGCGTTGCCGACCCTTTAAAAACCTATTTACTCCCCTTTTGAACGACCCCATAATGTAGCCCCATACTGAGATTTTTGAATTAGCTCTGTTTAGATCTAGGTGTGCGATTATATAGTTCGTTTCAACGAATAGTACCTATGGCGTTATGTTGGCCTCCCTCTCTGTCAAAGTCTTTGGCACGAGAAGACGCTCCCGCAGATTTTGTTTATTTTCATTTGATTTTCGACTGAAATTATGCCCAAAACATTAAAAAGTGGTGAAAGAATGATGGTGTTAAAAGTGAAGAACTTTTGTGAACGTGAAAAACGTAATAATGCACCATTAATTCCTTTAAGATGTGTTCAGGCTCGTGTTGCCGCCATTACAGGTCAGTCAAATAGGGTTACCAGTAGTTTGTGTCGGGTCGCCGGGAGGGAGCCCTCTCCTCGCTGCCACCACTGCGACGACTGTCCCGACGAGTCGGCCCAGCATACGCTGGAGGAGTGCCCAGCATGGACGGAGGAGCGCGAGGCGCTCAGAAGTGTTGTGGGGGCGGACCTAACGCTGCCGGCCGTGATTTCCGCCATGGCTGAAAGCGAAAGGTCCTGGGGTGCCGTCCTGTCCTTCTGCGAGGACGTGATGTCGCAGAAGGAGGCGGCGGAGAGGGCGAGAGAGGCCAACGCCGAGCTCGCCATCCGCCGCAGGAGGACCGGGCGCTGGAGAGCGGCCCACGATCGCCGCCTCCCCCCCTAACACCAGCCAGAGGGCGGTAGACTTGGGGAAGTCTGCCGCCTAGTCACCTGGCCCGAGTAGGCGCGCGCGGTGTCCCCCGCGCGCTGCTCTAGAGATGGTCGCAGAGGGTGTTCACCCTCCGACATCGAGATGTGCCGTTGGGCAATCGCCGTCGGGGTTCGCGGAGGAGTCTCTGGTTCCCGTGGCCCCGACCTGGAGGCGACTGTGGCGGACACAGTCAGGTTTTAGTGGGTAGGCTGCCGTGCGTTTACCACCTTTTGCACGGTAGGAGCCCCACATAACCCGTCGTTCTTCCCCAGGCGGCGGGTACCCGGCAACAGGGTTTCCTGACTATAAAAAAAAAAAAAAAAAAAGGGTTACCAGTAGCAGATAGAGAAATTATAATTTCCACACTTTAACCGCAATTTTTTTTAAACGGTAGTTATTTGTAAGATCTACGCAAGCATGTGTACTGCGACTATTATTGGTTTATGTATGACGTTGACAATAGATAAATAAATCAAAATATTTGTTTTAGGTGTGTCCGAAAAAACCGTGTCTAAAATCACCAAAGAAGGTGAGGTCGCTGCCAGCACGTCGACTAAGGTTTCAACACCACGCAAAAGCGGTCCCCGGCCTAAAAAAATCATAATTGAAGTGGGAGACGATAGCGACACTTCTGATGACGAGGATGATGAGGAAGATGAAGTTGACGACGATCTCTCGGGAATAAGTCCGTTGGATGAGCATTTTTTGATTGATCACAATTATAATAAAAAATATTAAATAATTTATGCTTTTTTTACTTTTCTGATTTTTAAAATGATAATTGAATAATTTATAATGAAACAACTTTTACTGATTTTATCGCCATAGTAAAGTAGCGGCGTAAAAGTTGTTTTATTATAATGAGTGAAATTCGCGTAAACATTAGAAAACAGAAATCGAATAATTTGTAAATATATAAGAATCTAACTAAAAAAACATACTTGAAATTACCCTTACTTTGAGGTGGGTTATTATAGATAATGTGACAGCACTGGAAAACATCGCTGCCAACATAACCTACCCTACCCCAGCCTGCAAATTTATGATATTCGCAATGAAAAAAATACTAATCCATAGATTTTTAATAGCTCAATTCAACTACGTAGCCCTTCCAAATTGCTCACCATTAATTATAAAATTAAAAATCAATAAAGTCCTTGAAAAAAAATTCATTTATCCGTATATTCAAATTTCTATATCTTTTGATATATACAATATTTTAAATTGCTCATAGTTCTAAAATACTGCTCAAGTTGCATTTGTAATTGCTCAAGTAGAGTTCTCACCAGCTCCACTTTTCTTAATTATTAAATAAATATAAATAGTTTGAATTAATTTAACGTATAGATAGGTGAGTGCTGCGCATGCGCGCAAACAGTAACGCGAGTCGCAAGGCAAAAAAATCAAGTGTTTCATAACCTCATCATAGTGAAATGAAACTGTAATACTCCAAGCACAACATCATCTATTATCAGGTATTTTTATTATTTATTGACTTATTCATTATGTTCAATTTATACAAAAATCAAATCATGACTAAAAGGTAACTTTATTTTGTAACTTTATGTCTGTTTACAAAGTATTTTCTATATATTCTTCTTTGCTCCAAAACATAAACAGACATAAAGTTACAAAATAAAGTTACCTTTTAGTCATGATTTGATTTTTGTATAAATTGAACATAATGAATAAGTCAATAAATAATAAAAATACCTGATAATAGATGATGTTGTGCTTGGAGTATTACAGTTTCATTTCACTATGATGAGGTTATGAAACACTTGATTTTTTTGCCTTGCGACTCGCGTTACTGTTTGCGCGCATGCGCAGCACTCACCTATCTATACGTTAAATTTATTCAAACTATTTATATTTATTTAATAATTAAGGAAAGTGGAGCTGGTGAGAACTCTACTTGAGCAATTACAAATGCAACTTGAGCAGTATTTTAGAACTTTGAGCAATTTAAAATATTGTATATATCAAAAGATATAGAAATTTGAATATACGGATAAATGAATTTTTTTTCAAGGACTTTATTGATTTTTAATTTTATAATTAATGGTGAGCAATTTAAAAGGGCTACGTAGTTGAATTGAGCTATTAAAAATCTATGGATTAGTATTTTTTTCATTGCGAATATCATAAATTTGCAGGCTGGGGTAGGGTAGGTGCCAACATAACGCCATAGGAACTATTCGTTGAAAGTTGAAACGAACTATACTCTATGTTGTTCATAGAGTATATAGCTACATGATGTTGTTCCTGGTCTATGCCACTATGGTCGTAAGACTAAAGACATGTTTTGTTTTTTAACTATAAACTAACCTAATATTTGTATTACGAATTAATTTATATATAAATAATTGAACGGTCAGAAATGAGTTGTTCTAGAGGAAGCACTAATAGAACGAGACCTCAAAAACACCAAAATAGAAGTGCATTTAAGAATACCTTACATGACACCAGCAAAAAAACTAAACTCTTGAATAATCTAGAAGTAACTGGAGTATGTGAGCGTTGTAAAGAAATAATTGAATGGAAAATAAAGTATAAAAAGTATAAACCTCTTACGGCACCAAAAAAATGTGCTGGTTGTGATCAAAAAAATATTAAGCATGCATACCATATATTATGTAGTAATTGTGCTTCCGACAAAAATGTTTGCACGAAATGTTGTAAACCAATAGAAGTAAGTAGAAACGTTAATTTTTTAACTTTTAAATTAAAATAAGTTATTTTTGCTATGGAAAGTGTCTAACTCGAAGATATAATACTATAGATTTATCCACTGTATTTGTTAATATAGGTATCTACAATGTGCCTATTCCTAAAAGTAAATTTTTTATTATTAAACTATTTAAGGTAACTGAGAAAAAAGAAGATATCAAAGAATTAAATAATGAAAATCAATTTCATTCAATGTTAAAAGGACTTCCTGAAAGGAAACGGCGTACTATATTAAGGTAAATATTTTTTTAAATTTATAATCAATTATCAACCTACCACACCAAATAAAACGTTTCAATATACAGTAGTAAAACAGTTTACTAAAAAGTTATAATTTTTACAGACACATAAAAAAGCAACAAGAGGAAGGCCATGAAATGACTAATACTATTGTAGAACATTTAATGTTAGAAATGGGCAAAGTTGATTTAGATGATGACTTCAGTGATTCTGATGATTATTTTGGTTCTGAACAACAATTACAATAATACAAATATTATATTATATTGTTATTAGAAATTTAAATTCTGTGTACTATCATAGTTAAGCTTAAAATAATAAACAACATTAATAATTATATATTTTTATTAACAAGTCAATGCAAATTTTCCAAATAAATATAATTGTTAAGTTATCATATATTATTAAATAACTAAGTTTACATTTTTCACATCTAAAATAATTAACTACATATAAAATCTGTGCTAAATAGAACAAATTATACAAAATGGCTTTATACTTTACAAAATCTTTGACTTAATTCAAATAATGTCTTGTATTATATACATTTTATAAAACTGTGTTAAAACTATAAAATTAAATTATCTGAAGACTTTAAATTCACAATTAGCTATCAAATTAGTCCAAGTTGCCGCAGCTGAAAAAAAGGCATTTAGTATTATTAACAAATTTTTATTATTCCATTTCTATGTAGCCCACCCAGCACTTAATAGTTTTTTTAACAGATTGGGATAACTATCTTTATTTTTAAATATGTAAACAAAAACCTTATGCTGTCCAGACAGTATGCTATATATATATATTATTAAAAACATGTATAATAAAATATTTTGAGAAACCCTTATTTGGAATAGCTGATTTGACAAAACATTTCTACGCCATGGTAGACAACCATGACAGTCAACACTGCATGGTCTTCAGTATCTTGCAATAGATACTTGAATAATACACTTCTACTTTCTGATGTCCTGAATTTCAGCCACGGTGGCAAATCTCACAAACTAGCTATTGTGCAGGATATATATATATATTTTTATGGGACTAAGGGGGCAAACGGGCAGGAGGCTCACCTGATGGAAAGTGATCACCGCCGCCCATGGACGTCTACAACACCGCAGGGCTTGCAGATGCGTTGTCGGCCTTTAAGGAAGGAATACGCTCTCTTCTTGAAGGTGGCCAGGTCGTAGCGGTTCAGAAAGACCGCCGGCGATAGCCGGTTCCACAGAGTGGTTGTGTGGGGTAGAAAATGCCTTAAAAATCGCACTGTTGTGGAACGCTGGACAATGAGGTGGTGTGGATGGAATTTACTATTTTGGCGCGATGTCCGATGATGAAATTCAGCAGCCGGGATCAGTCCGAACAATTCCTCGGAACACTCCCCGTGATAAATGCGGTAGAAGATGCAGAGTGATCCAACATCTCTACGCAGAGCTAAAGGATCAAACCGATCAGAGAGAGCTTGATCGTCGATAACTCGAGCCGCCCTACGTTGAATGCGGTCAAATGGTAGTAGCTGGTACTGGGGAGCTCCCGCCCAAAGATGAGAACAGTACTCCATGTGGGGCCGAATTTGCGCCTTATAAAGGATAAGACGCTGACGCGACGTGAAGTACTGTCTCGCCTTGCTGAGCACACCAAGCTTCTTTGAGGCCAGTTTGGCCTTACCTTCCATTGACCACGGAACTGGACGTTGCTCGAGATGTCGACGCCAAGTATTCCGATACTGGCTGTGGCAGACAGAGGAGTGTCCTCAAATTGAGGAGCTACGATAAATGGCGATTTTTTAGCGGTTAACGCGCAAACTTGTGTCTTTTTGGGGTTGAATTGGATTAAGTTTAGTCGACCCCAATCCGAGACTTTGGTTAACAAAGATTCGACTTCAGACACAACTTTGTTCCGGCTCTAGTCGACGTATTCCCGAGAAATATTAGCGCGGCCAGTGTACAGGGCATCCACAGTGCTATCGTCTGCATAGCAATGAATGCTGCTAATTTGCAACATGTCATTGATATGCAGAAGGAACAGAGTAGGAGACAGTACGCAGCCTTGGAAGGAGGAAGAAGAACACAAATGCAGTAATAGAATTCCTGTCACTCATACTCTGGTGGGAGGACAATTTGTTGGTCCAAACTCCAAATAGATTAGGCACAGGACCGATGGTTTTATATGCTCTCCAAGTCATGGCGGTGAAACCTAACTTTCCAACTCTGGGTTGTAACTGAGACTTCCTTAAAAGAAAGACTCAATAACTAAACTTGGCTAGACCCGAGACTCGAACTCAGGACCTCTGGATGCGCAACCGTATTTGCCAGCCACTAGACCACCAAGGCAGTTTACTAGTTTTATAGTAGTTCTACTTTCTACTAATATAGTAAAAACTAAAATACTAAGAACTCACCAGGCCTTGTCTTTCTTTCTCCTTTTGTAGCACTGTTTCCGTTTGTCTATCATCAAATTTTACCACAGCGGATAATACTTTAGCAAGAGTAATGGAATGTGTCCCTGAGCCAGTAAGGTACTCATATAAAATATTTTTCAAATATTCCAGTTCAGTATTTTCTTGAAGGGAATGCAAATGCCTCAAGCTAACAAGAGCTTCATCTAATCTCCTCTCTAATTTCTCATTGGAAAGTCTTAATTTGTCATTATTTGTTTGTACTTGCTGAATGTTTCCATTAACACTTTGATTTAATAATTCTAAGTCATTTAATTTTTTTTCTAACTCATTTTTTGTTTCAACCACATTATTATATTTTTCTAAGATATTATCATTATTATATTTGTTAATGTCATTTGTATTTTTTTGAGAATAATTTTGTGACATTATCTGATCTTTCAATTCCAAATTCTCTTCAGCAAGTAATGTGTTTTCTCTAATCAAGTTGGCTATTTTATCTTTTCCAAGTTGAATTTCAGTTTTAAGATTCTCTATATCACGTATAATTATATCATTCTTTTCAGGAAAACTTTCGTTTGAAGCCATAATTTCTCTTAATTTATCATTTAGTTGACTATTTTCCTTTGATACTTTTGTCAAGTAAGATTGGAGCCCTTCAATGTCAGATTGCAAACGTTTATTCTCTTCTATGAGCAAACAATATTCATTGTTAAGTTCTTCATGTTTATTTAATAAAGCTTCAGTTTTATCGATGTTTGTTTTATTTTCCTCAGTTAGGTTGCTATTCAATTCACTTAATACCTGCATTTCCTTATTTAATTCATCTATTTTATTATCTTTAGATTGATCCAATTCAGTCTGCGTATATTTAGCGTCCAATAGTTTCGCTGAGGCGGTATTCTTTTCAAGCTCATTTATAACAGTTGTCAAGTGTTCTTTCTCAATTTCAATCTGTGAATGTGAATGGCGAACTTCTTTCAATTCCAGCTCTATTTCTGTAACACTGTTCGAAATTGTCTCTGATAGATTTTTTAATGTCGTGTTTTCTTCGTTTAAGTTATCAATACGTTTTTGTAAGTCCAATACATGATTTGTTTGTTTTTGGTAATTTTCTTTTAATGTGGATAATCCATTATACTCCTCAGTCAAACTATTAAGCTTCTTAAGTACTTCTTCATGCTTTATAGATATTTTATCTATTTCCTCTTGCAATGATTCTTTTTCCAGTTGAACATTATTTAATGTTATGAGTAAATCATTATTTTTGTTTTTTAATATGTTAAAATCTTCTAAACATTTCTGCTTTTCTGATTCACACTCATGCAGTTTATTGGTTAACTCTTCCGAGTCCTGTTTCAAATTCTCTAATTTAGTAATTACTTCATGATTTTGATTTTTTAGATCTTGTATTTCCTGCAAATGCAAATTACTTTCAGAGGTGACTTCCTTTACTTCTGATTTTAGTATATCTATCTCTTGTTGTGCTTCTTTTATTTCATTATTCAAACATTCATTTTGTTCTATCAATTTTTGAATATCAAATTGTAAAGACACATTGGCAAGACGCAAATCTTCTGATGTTTTTTCATTAAGAGAAATTTCCTCTTGCGTAGTGAATTTTAATAAGACAATTTTGTCATTAAATGCATTCATTGTCGTTATAATAAATTGTTTGAATGATTTCGATTCTTCTAAAGTCACATTTAGGACCTTACGTAATTTAATTATTTTTGTTCTTAAATCTTCACACGTCTTCATGATTTGGTCAGTTTGAAGTAATTTATTTTTTAATAGAGTGTTTTCTGATTTTAAGTCTTCGACTGTTATGTTGAGTTGTTCACTGCGTTTCTGAACTAATTCGTAGTTTTCTAATAGTTTTTCAATTCCTGATTGTAACTTGACCAGTTCTACTCTTTCTTCTTGTATTTCAGATTCTAAACTATTATATTTTGATCTCCATGTTGTTATTTCTTCTTTATATTTTTTAACTTCATCTGTTTCTTCATTACCTTGAGAACTATTCATTTCATTTCTCAATAATTGAATTGCTTTTTCCAAATTACTTATCTGTAAACTTTTTTTGGAATTTTCTTCAAGAAGTTGAGAATTTCTGTTTTCTAAATAACTATTTCTATCAATCATAGCCAGTTTTTCCGCTGTTTCTTGCTTCATTTGTAACTGTAAACAATTATATTCTTCATCTGCTTTATTTTTGATTTGTTCAAGGGAGTGACATTTTTGGGCCAGGGATTCAACTTCTGCTTTTAATTCATTTATCTTTACTATTTCAGAGTTAAGTGTCTTCAATTCATGTTTTAATTTTGAACTCTTCTCTTCTAATTTACCTATATCACTTTTATAATCATTTAATATAATATTAAGTGATTGAATTTCATTCCGGCTGCTTTCCAAACTATCCTTCAATGATTTAATCTCTGATTCTTTGCTTTCTAATTCTTTATGAATGCTGAGTTTGTTTTCGGCGAGTGATATAGCATATTCCTCTTCTCTTTTGCTTAAAACTTCAATTTTTTCACGTAATTTTAATATTTCCTCTTGAGCTGTTTTAAAATTTAATTCAAGTATAGATAATTCTTTATTTTTTGTGAATTCGTAAGAATTATTTTTGTTTTGCAATTCTTCAATATTTTCAGTAAGCTCTTGAATTTTTCGCCTCGCTTCCGTGAGTGAAACTGTCGCAGCTTTGAGTTGATCGTTTTCTTTTACTTTCGATTCAAGTTCAGCTGAAATAATTTGTAATTCTGTAGTTAACTGTGCATTTTTATCTTTAGACGTCTTTAGCGAATCTTTGTACTTGTTTAACAATTGTTCCATTTTTTCTATTTTATTATTTAACACGGTAACCTCCGAAAGTATAGGGGCCTCATTTGTTTTGTTATCATCACTAACTTCATCTGTAGCCAAACTAATTAATGGAATGTCGTTGTCATTCTTGTCGTTTGAAACTTTACTATTATCTACTGAATCATTTCCTGTATCATTTTGCAACAGGCTTAATTTTGTATTGAGCGTATGTATTTTCATGTTCTTTTCCTCGATGTCTAAACGGAGCGCTCTTTCAAGGTGAGCCTAAAATAATAAAAATATTTATAGTTTTAAAAAAAACAATAAAACATACTTGCAAATAAACCTAAACTCGAAATTTTTATTAAAAGACATTAAAGAGTTCCAATATCTCACTCCTGGTTCCATCATCAGATCATCTTGGTGATATCAAATTGTATTCTGTGACTAACGACTCACCCTCGCTTCGAGTCCCTTCTATCCCACGGGAACCATACATTTTTCCGGGATGATATATAAGTTATAACCAATAGCTGTCCTCAATAAACGGGCTATCTAATGCAAAAAGACTTTTAAATCGTACTAGTAGTTCCTGAGATTAGCGCGCACAAACAAACAAACTCGGCCTCTATAAACTATTAGTATAGATAAACGGGGTTTCGCATTTTTAGTTTCAAAATATATGACAATTTGAAGCAGAATAAAATTATTCAAAGGTTTAATTACATAGTTATTGGCTAATGAGTTACAAGTGTTGATAATAATAACATAAATATTTAAAGTGGACATTGTAATTTATCCTCTGTTTACTTACTTTAGCACTTTGTTCAAGTGAACATTGTTCTCTTAATTCAGATATTCTTCTTAGAGCTTTATCTTGTGTCTCCACTAATACATTCTGCAAAATGAAAAAAAAAATTGCTAATGTTCTACCATTTTAATTCACAAAAATAATAAAACAATATCCTTATTTCCTAAAAATATATAAAGGAAACATGCCTAATGTCATAAAGTAAGAATCTTAATTTACCTTAGCTTTTGCATTTTCTCTCTCTAAAAGTTTATAATGGCGAGCAAGGTCTGCATACTGAGTCTTATATTTAGTACAACGATCTTGTGTTCGACGATAAGCTGCATACAACTGTTCTTTCGTGACTCTATCAAGATTGACAGTTGAACCCGAAAATCCTTTTTCTTCTGCTTCGCTTGCTGATACTTCCATGTCAGACTACATTTGAATTTTATAAATATAAATGAAAAATAAACATTGTAAATATTCTATGCTTTAAAACACTACGGCAAATAATCGAACATAATATTTTTTTAATCTTGGTCAGTAAATCTCTTAAATAAAAAAAAGGGAAAATATCCTTTATAAAACCAACTTACTATCTCATGCTGTTCTAATGCCAAATGTATACCACAATAGGACATGATGGCACTTATACTATAAAAGATAATAAAAAACTTAAAAAAAATAGTGGCCGATTTCCAGGCACTTAAAAAAAAGTTAAAGCCTATTTCTAGACACTGAAAGGTTAGCTTAGGTTGTTCCTGATTTTTTCGAAAATCGATGAACATACATAAAAAAATACATCCTCCTTTAGGGAAGTCGTTAAAAAAATGAGCAAATACCTGCAAATGGTACATCGAAGGACTTTCATAACTGGGCAATCTAAATGATATGTCACTGGCAAATGAGCTATTCGACAATCTTCTTTGCCTATGACTTTCTTGATTCATCTGTGAAAAGTTTTTTTTTCATTATTTATTAATAGGCTGACATTACATTTCAACAAGTAAGTAAATGTTTTGTAGTATATTTAATAACTAGGAGAACCTTCGCTCGCGCTAAAACTACAAAAAATCTCTAAAAAGTATTTCCATAAAAATTTTCATCCCCTATTTTAGCCTCTTAGGGGTTGAATTTTAGAAAATGCTGAAATACAGAATTCATTATTTTTGCCGTACTCAATTCATACGAAATTTCATGCAAATCATAATATGTCCAGGGAATAAAGTTTCATATAATCTTTTATCCCCTATTTCACCCCCTTGGGGGTTAAATTATGAAAAATCCTTCCTTAGTGGATGCCTTCGTCATATAAGCGAAATTCCAATTTTCTAGCCTTAAGGGTTTGGCCTGTGCGTTGATACATCAATCACTTTTGCATTTTATATATATAGATAGGTAATGTCCTGAGTCTGGCCGCCAAAAATTGTACATTATCATTCGTGAATTAGTAACACTCAGTAACATACGTGAAAGAATGTAACACATGTGAACTTTGTTAAGCATAGTGCACATTTTGTAGTATGTGTGTCACATACCACAATATCAAGTTGTGTTATTGTAGAAATAATACAAAAGGTTCGAGTACACTTTAATTATGTCTTTACCTTAATAAAACAGAGTTTACCAAAAAAAATTTTTTGGAATGTAATACTTATTAAAAAAAACTAAGATGCTGATTGGCTTCACAATTATAGACGCTGAATTTTCATTGGTTTTTGAGCCGAAGCCTTGGTGTTCTACCCATCATCATTCTAAACATCCTTCTCTATGGAACTAACTCTGTACAATAAAAAACAGCTGATCCAGACAAAAGATCAATTGTATAATACCTACTCAGTCGAAATTTAGACCGAGTAGGTGTTGAACTTTTGTATGGAACAGCTAATATTTTTTCAATGTACGAAGTTAGTCCTATAGTAAAATTTGTTCAGAATAATGGGAAAAAAACCAGAGCTTCGACTCAAAAACCAATGAAAATTCAGCGTCTAAATACAGTTTAGGTATTTTACCTACCTAAATTACACAAAATAAAAATGACATCGTAAAAAATCACAGTAGCCAAAAAGTTTTTAGTTCGAAAAAGCAACAGCTGTTTTTTTTTCTTAAATTACAGAATTAGTAAACATCGTGCTTTCATTTATTAATTATTCTTAAACAATATAATCAGACTTAACATTATAGACATTATACTGAACAATGCAATTTTACTAATAATCTACTCTAAATAAATGTTTATCCCTACTTAAGAGTATTTTAAATTCTAACAGTTTTTGGAAAATACTTGTAATGTTAATTAAACTTGTAAAGAACACTATGTTTATGTTTTGTCTATTTTTTCGATCTCTTCATTGTTTTCGTAGGGTTTTTTTTCAGTCTCCGTACAGTCGCTAATATTTTTTCTTTCCTTATTCCGCGCAGCATTTTTGAGTTTAGCTTCTTCAAACTTTTCTGGGTTGTTTAATCGCATTCTGTATCGCTTTTGTTTTTCCGGCGGTGTTAAGGGCGTCTAATAAAATTATTAAATGTTTTGTAACACGTCAGGGCCATTTTTTATTTAATTATAAAGTATAACAAGATAGATTGGATTCACATTATTTAAAACTACCTAAATTTCGAGAATTTACTAGATACCCTGCGCGAATACGTACTTGCGAAAAAAATAAGTTAAAATTTAAGTTCTGTAGTGTACACTAACCTTAAGAACCGATCACGAATGTTACGTAACACACGATATCATTCGTGAATCAAAAATACTGTGTACGTAATCTAAAAAACATGTACTCGGCTTTATTTTGGAGTAAGAACATGACAAATAGGTGTATTTGTTAACTATATGTTGAAATAAATGATTAAATAAAAAAAATTAACCGAATGATCTATCTACACACAGAAATTAAAATAAAATTACATTCTTACCGTGCGTTTTCTTACATAAAAACATTAAAAACTCCCGAGACAAAAGTGCCGGCCACTTTAATCTTCATTTCACAGAAAACAAAATGGTGATTTTTGTCTATAGGGTCGCCAACTTGTAAATGGGATTGTTATATAAGTAAAATATGTTTAAAGACTTGGAATCTAGGCTGATTTCATTGTGATTTATAGTAACTTGCGTGAAGTATCGTTCGGGAACAAAAATCGAGATACATACTTTAAAATTTATTTTACAATAAGTTTTTACGTAACTTGTTATTAAAAATCACTAGCGCTAATAAAACTAACTGAACAATTTAGCAATGCTAAAAATTAACACTTCATTAGGCATTTTAGCATATTTTTTTGATTTCAAATTATAAGATGTTGTAGTGGGACACGAGATTTTTGTATGGATGCCAAGATTTATGATGCCCTCTTAGAAAAAAATTAAAAAACAGCTGTTAAAGGAAACCGAAATTAATTAAATTTTTCCATAAGTATAAACGTGAAAATGTGTACCTGAAACTATTTACAACATAACATTAAATGAAGTAGTATATGAAAAAAAAATATTTTGTTTGAGAGAGACGCTGATTTTTTTCCATATGTACAATTTTTGGCGGCCATACTCTCCTCCCGACTGATTTCGGCCACGGCGGCCAATCTCATTAAGATTAGCTATTTGCGCTGAAGGTATTATGGTGCACAAGTATGCGCGCAAACACAAATGCACTCTCTTTTCTTGTCACTGTCATACTCTGGTACGACGATTAATCGACAGGCCCAGTGAGAGTAAGGCACAAGACTGACATCTTTACATACTGTCCTAGACAAAGATGAAACACTTGCCAACGCCGGGCTGTTACTGGGACTTCCTTAATAAAAGAGTCAATAACTAAACTTGGCCCAACCCAGGACTTGAAACCAAGAATCTCCAGATGTTCAGCGGTACATGCTAGCCACTACACCACCGAGGCAGTTAATAATCGTATTTATATTAATTTTAAAAGGTGCAGAAAGAGATGATAAAGTAATAAGGAAAACACTATTAAATTGACCATCATCGTATTTTATAAAATATGGATACAAGGCCTAGAACATAGGATACATTTTGTCAAGGAAAATGAAAGTACCCAAAAACAGGCCCTGACTGCTTTAACAGTATTATTTTGTTCTTGCTTAATGTCTTTTCTGACCTGCACTTTTAATGGTAGCCTATATCCTATAATATAACTTAATAAATAAGGCTATAAATGCAAAAAGATTATATTATATAATATCATTGATCAGTGTTCAGACAAAAAAGTTTAAAGACTGAAGATGAAATATAAGTATTTAAAGAAACTAACTAATTTTATTAAAAGTATTTAAAGTTTATTTTTATTTAGTAGGTATTTAACACCTATAGGTTAATTTCTAAGATATTAATTAAATTTTTAAGAAATCTATTGTTAACTGTAACGCCGGCGTGACCGCGGTCATAGAGGGATTAAGTATCTAATAATAGCATTTAAATAAAAAAAAATTAAAAAAAAAAACTAAGAGTATTTAAATACTGAATGAACTATAAAGCACATTCAACCTTCTGGAAAAACTGTTTACCTTAGATTATGATTATTACAATGCTAAGGTAATTTTTAATAAATATTTATACACCTACTCTTATGTCTAACATAGAGACAAAGTTGGATGAAATATTAGGCAGTAATAAAGAAAATTATATTAATATAAATATCATTTTATAAACCAAGTTACAAAATATCACCTCTAGATTTGTCTGGATTTCTGACTCCATACTTGTGTCTAAATTTTTAGATTGTGATATAAGGGATACTTCTTGAAGTGAATTTTGCTGATTATTTGGCAGATTTTTGATTTTACTTGATGTATCTAAAATTGAGAAAAGAAAACATTTAGTATTAATATATTTACTGTGGGCATTTTATTATAATATTACATAAACACAAGATAGGTACCATTATCACCAATAGAAAATAAATCATTGTTTGTGATGTCAGATATGCTGCTAGACGCTGATGTGACTGCTGCCTGTAAAATAATAACATCCAGAACTTAGCTTGCATTTTGTTTGTAGAGACAAATTTTTTAAAATTACCTTTGTATTGCTTAAAGTTAAATAAATTACATACACAGTAAATTTAAGATCTTATTTATATTATATTCGATTATAAATTTAATACAGATATTTACTTGAGCAGCTTGGGCGAATTGCTGAATCCTTTGAGGGGATGACTTCACTTCCTCAGCTAATTTATCTTTAAATTTTTTAAACATTTTTTTATTTATATTCCATATACGATGGTAATTGTAATTGCAATTCAGTATTTTGGCACATACGCTAGAGCATATCACTAAAACACGACCCTCTTAGATTATAATTTACTATAGGTCATTAATCGTACATTTCTTATTTCACGTTTAGACATAAAACGTCATCCTCCAAAACTGACATTGACATTTAACCCCTCAACTGGCGCTGTCATTTTATAAGAATATGGCGCATCTGTCAGCTACTTTCCGAGGGCCTGGCCTGCGCGAAATATGTACGCATCATTAAAATAACAATATTTCTTAAAATTTTATATATAAGCTATATATAAAGGTTATATCGTTAGAATCGTTTTAAAATAAACTACGAATAAATATATATATAAGTGAGTTCAATTATATTTAATAATATATAGTTAATTCTAAGTTGAAATTACTGTAAGTGATTTTTTATCAGTATATAGTATGAAAAGAGGAATTATTACAAAATAGAACTATTATTTAAAAAAGTAATGCTTTCATTTAATAAAAGATACAATATTTTATATTAATTGATTAAAACAACACAACTCAATGTAGATTTTTTTATACCACAAGCTTTTACAATAACATGTCTCAATCATAGCGACTTAGCGCCGGATAAAAAAGAGGTATTGGTATTTATACTTTAATTCTGAGAGCATTGAAGATCGAGAGATTTAGGATAATCATTTATATTATAGTTTAGTCCACATACGTAATACTGACATAGTTTCGAGTTCTTATAACTATTTAGTTTACGAGAATTAAACAATAAACCAAACACTTTAAAATAAGTGCTAAAAAACGTCATCTCGGACTTTGGATCGCTGAGCAAATTCTGTTTAAAATTTCATTAAAATATATTAACATCTTACAATTTAGTGATATTTAAAATTAGAAAAATATAATAAAATACATGTTGCCTTATTAGAATATTTCAGAAATCAATTCTGAGAACTAACAATTTCACTATAAGAATTACAAGGGGCAGCTAAAAAAGTATGGATACGACCAATTCCATCACATCTGAACAGATTATGTTATGGAAATAAAATGATAATAAAAACATCAATACAAAATAAAACAACTTCAAATATTAATTCGGACAGGAATTATTTTTATTCTACTGTTTTTAACCTCCGACGCAAAAACGACGGGGAGTTATAAGTTTGACGTGCTGTGTATGTGTGTGTGTGTGTCTGTTTGTGGCATAGTAGCTCCCGAAGAGATGATCCGATTTTATTTTTTCTTTGAAAGGTGAATTATTCGGAAGCTATGTTTGATGAAAATCGGTCCAAGATGGCCGCCGCCACAAAGTAGCGGATTACATATTTTTTCCAAACTCCCTCAATATGGGTATTAAATGATTAGGCTTGACTAGTATAATTTTCGAATCCAAGATGGTCACCACCACAAAATGGTGAATTACATGTCGGGGTTACTTTTAAATTTTTATTTATATTTTATAAGATTGAAGTATTGTGGCAGTTACTGTATTGAGTATTTGATGGACTCAATAGTTATAGTAGTAAAAAAAAAATATAGTAGAGTATAAAAACTTTGTAATTAGTACTCACAGATGTTTTAAATCTGAAGTTGAAAATTTTGGATGCCTTTTGTTAGGTAAAGGACACTTTTTAATGAATATTGCTTGCAGGTAGAAGCTTTTATAGGTACATATTTTTTTTAAATGAAAAAAAAAAAGATGAACACCTATCCTAAAAGCAACAAATACTAATTATTACTAAGTAAAGATACATAGGTAACTATACTAACCTCTTCCCACATAATGTTCACCACGACTTCGATGTTCAGTCACGTCGTCGAAACGAACAAAGGCGTGGTATAATATATAAATCAGATATTTTCGAAGTCAGTTCCAGCCGATGCAAAGCAAATCTAATATATTTCGATACATAAAATTCATATTTACGTATTAGATATTCATATCTTAAAATATTGTCGGCTGGCACCGACTTCGAAAATATCTGATTAGGTATCTATTCTAAATGAAAACCTCCGTTTAGTTATTTTTTACATTTTAGTGCCTGGAAGTCGTTATTTTTAAAAAAATAGTTTTTTATACTACACCCTTGTTCGCTTCCGCTCTATGGGGTACATAGCCTACAATTGGTCTTTCTTGTTCACCCTCCGATCATAATATTGTAAGCTAATAAGGCATGTTTTAAGCAATTTTGGTGCAGCTACAATAAACATAAAATGCAACATGATACTAGTTTAAGAGATGCAAATAAACTTATTTTTTACCTGACTGCGCGACGCAAAGGAGGGTAATGTGTTTATCAGTCTATGTATGTATGTACATATGTATGTATGACACCCTAGAGACCAAACGCGTGGGCCGATTTCTATGATTCATATGTCGTTAGTTTCGTATTTACGCGAGTGTCATAAGCTATATATAGCCTATAATACTCGCGTTATAGTTAAAAATTAAAAATAGTTAAAAAGTAAAATGGCGGATATCAAGCGCCAATTAGTTTGTCTGTAAAAAAATCTTCCAAATCAATCGAATGGGGTCTCAAAATAAAGATTTTTGGTGATCACAAAAAAAATTAAGAGAACACAACTTACATGTTTAAAGGTAATTTGGGATAAGAAATTGCTAAATATTAAGTCTTTACCTATGAAATTGTCGTTTAATATACAGAAAGTTAAAGTATTGTATTTTTATAAATATTTTTCATTTCTATTAATCAAAATATGCACCCATGCTATTGATGCAATTTGATGCAAATGGACCAATATTGTTTTGATGCTAACGTTGAAAGCTGCTGCTATCTCAGCCACAGATTGAGTATCGTCAGCTTCCACTATCGCCTTTAATGTATCGTTACTGATTTTAGTTTTCGGGCGACCACGGGGTTAATTTTTTAAGATCAAAATTTCGATGTTGGAAGTGTTCAGACCAATAACGAGTTGTGCGTTCGTTTGTAGTGTTCACTCGGCACTCCGTACGCGTCATTGATGTTGCGAGCCGTTTGTGCGGGATTGCTACCGCGATGGAACTCGTATTTCATAATTACTCGTATTTTTATTGTGTTTATATTGATGAAAAACAAACAAATGTAGTGAAAACATAACACTAATTAATAAACAAACGACTGAATTCAAAAATAGAACTCCATACTTTTAAAATAAAATTCATTTGAATTTAGAATTTATTGCCGGCCAATCATAAATTACGTTTCCAATGGCCAGTAAGTATTGTAGAACGGCGATTTCAAAAGACCTATTATAACTTGAAATTTCTAATAAAATTAAAAAGCTGTAAATAAAAAAATACATTTCATCCTTGTCGCGAGATGTACATGTTGTTGAACCACCATTGGGTTATTTTAAGTTAATTAAGTAACATAACCAACGTAATGCTCTTTTTTTTCTATCAGGCGTCGTTATATATTGTCATTATAGCACAGACGGTGATTTTAAATTTTTCTTTCTCAATAAATCGTAAGACTGCGTGCTGTTCGGTCAAAGTTTTAATTTTTCATTTAAAATCCCAGTAAAACCCCCCTATACGCGCACATGGTCCATTACGAACCGGGTTATTATAATTTCATTGGATGTATAGGGATTTAAAGAATATTATCTGGAATTTTATAAAATTATAAAACTGAGCAACGTGTCCAAAAGAAGTGATTCAACCTACACGTTTTGGATGAAGAAAAGTGGCTTGGACTTTAGAGTGATTTAATTTAATAAAACAAATTGTTTTAAGCGTTAAATAAAATTTATTTCACCCAACACTCAGGTAATATTCTAGGTAAAAACTTAATGACCAATATGAAGACAGGTGTCGTCACAATTTGGAAGGCAGGTGTCGTCAATCTTATACAGATTGACGACACCTGCCTTCCAAAATGACCGACATAAAAGATCTTAAAAAGAAACGTGGCAGTTATAATGGAAGAATTACTTCATTTGCAAGCTATTTAGGTCTTTTAAAAGGTTCCGAGTTAACCCCTTGTCAGGCAATGGAGTTACAGTTACGTATCGATAAGTTAGAAAATTTATATGATGAGTTTAACGAAATTCAATTACAATTAGAATGTTTATGTGAAAATCTTGATGTTGAATCTATTGAAAGAACTACTGTAGAATCTCAGTATTACAACTTAGTCGCTCAGGCAAAAATTATGTTAAATAACTATTCTAAATTAGAAAAGGATGATGTAAAATCTAGCCACAGTAGTTCAAAGCGTCAACTAGTCATGTTACCTACCATTTCATTACCAAAATTCTCAGGATCTTACGTTAACTGGCTTGAATTTCGCGATACCTTTACTAGTCTTATTCATGATAATGACGATATGGACGAAATTAACAAATTTCACTATTTGCGATCATCATTGGAAGGTTCGGCTGCCATCGTAATTAAGTCAATTGAGTTCTCCGCCCGAAACTACACAGTTGCGTGGGAACTTCTTTGTGAACATTTCGATAACAAACGCTTATTAATTAATAATCACGTCACGGCGTTGTTTGATATCGAATCGATTACGAAGGAATCCTCAATTGCATTGAAACGCACAATCGACAATATAAACAAAAATATTAGAGCATTAAGTTCATTAGGCGAGCCTATTCACAGTTGGGATACTCTTCTAATATATTTCATTAGTAAAAAAAATTAGATTTTAAAACATTTAGAGAGTGGGACGAGTTTAAAGGTCGCTTTGATAAAACTCAATCAATTTCATTTCAACAGTTCATGGATTTTCTGCGTAGCCGTGCCGACTTACTAGAAACAGTTGAACTATCACGCCCCTCTTCCAGTAATATTAAATCCAACACTAAAATTAAGGCTATGGTTTCCACAGAAAAAATAAATTCTTCATTAGCACACGGTTGTCCAAAGTGTAGTGGCGATCATAACTTAAATTCATGTCCACAGTTCTTAGCACTGAGTGTTAGCGATAGAATGTTATTATTGCAAAATTACAAGATTTGTTTTAATTGTT